GTCACCGCTGGACGATCTAGGGACTGGCGGCGTCTTCGACCAACCCTCACACAACATTGGAGAGATGAATGACCTTGGTAAGAGGAGTGCAGCACGTCAAAGGCCTAGAACAAAGTACCAAGTGTACAGTGCAAATCCAGCAGCGGCTCCCACTGGGTAGACCGACTCGCCCGTTGGCGGACTTTGGCTTGGCTTCAACTCGCTGGTTCACCCCCCGAAACCCGAGAAGGACAAGAGACGATGAAAAAAAAAAACCTACTGCTGCACGCAAGCAAAAGCACCAAAGCCACTAAGCTCCTCTTGGGGTAGTGGGGGGAGGAAGGCCCCTCCAGCTGTGCTCTGAGTCGAGTCCAGCCCGTCGATTGAGTCCAGTCGGTACCTCAGGTACGTACAGCCGCAGCAAGGTGTCCCAAGGTGTGTGTGGTATGCCATGCCCTGGCCACGTCCGCAGCGCAGTGAGCGCCAAGGGGCGTGCGATATGGACGGTTCCATTCTGTTTTAGTGCAGGTGTGTGGGGATTGAAGAAAGACTCAGATGGAAAGAAGAGAAAGAGATTCCGGTCTTTTCTTTTCAGCTGTGGGGAGTTGTTGTGTTGTTTTACGGGGAACGGAGAATGAAGAACGGAGTATTCGGAGGACACGGAGAAATATGTCTTAAATTTGGCAGCGCATTCTCTCAGCGTTAAACAAAGCATCAACAAGAGAGCAGACATGCTAACTAACTACTAACTACAATCATCTCACAGGTTGGTATAAGTCGAACCGAAGCAAACCATGGCGGTCTGGACAAAGAGAAAAACGCGTAGTCCCTCTAGTCTGCACCTAATCAATCCATTGGATAATCCACTCCCTCCTGACTGCAACCCAAAGCATCGAGGTTTCGACTCTTGACAAGACCTTGGTAAGCTCCCTATCCAGAGACCAGTCGCGGACTGTGGATTGCGGCCGGCCCATGTTGCTTCGTTTTATTCCACTCCTCCTAGCTTCTCATTCTCATCTCTAGTCCCCAAATCCTTTTTCCTCCTGTTTCCCTTGTCAGAGTTCCAATGTTGTCTTTTTACAAGCTAGCTTGGCAAAAAAAGACGGCCGGCAAATGTCCCCAACCAACGTAGCCTAGCATTGGATATCCTTTCTAAAACCAAACAGCCCCCCAGGCCCATGACAAAATGAAACCTAGACGTAACGAAACACACAGTACGCGCCGATACATCCCATTTTATCAGCTCCCAGCTCCAAAGAAGCGGCAGCGGCAGCACCAGCTCGTGGCCATCGACAAGCGCTTGCCTTTATCGTGCCAAATGACACCACCCTCGCAACTCTAGAACGCCCCAGGACATGAAATAACAGCCCACCATGCCACACCCTCACGGCCTTGGCCGCTGGGAGCCAGAGCCAACTCTCGTCACTCTTCCCCCCTCCCCCCTTCGTCTCTTTACCCCGGATTCCTTCTCGAAGAACCTTTTTTTCCTCTTTGCGGTGCGGGGAAACTTGGTCGCGGCCGCATCATCGGTTTGACTTTTTCCCTCTTTGCTTTCTTCTCTTGGCCTTCGTTCCACCGACGTATTAAGTCGCATCGTTACAGGCCAGCCAAGACTCTTGATATTAGCCAGGGCTACACCTTTGGATGCCCACGAGGAAAGGTCGTGTGCTCCCCCTCTGTGCCTACATACACCCACTGCTTAACCTACGCGTCGGGTCCAATCTCTGCCCTGCGGCCCTCACCTTCAACCTCGTCGCTCCACCTCGTTGCACCGCAGTCCGTAGTCACCCCACCCAAGCTTGCTTGCTTGCTCGCCCACCCCCAGGAAGAGCTTGTTTTGGTTTTTCGATCTATTCCGGGGCCGGTCCTAAAGCCATCAAGCACATGGCTGACCAGGTCCAAGGCTCCTCCTTTGCCATGCCGCCTTATCCATCCTGGGTTGTTAGTGCCGTCGAGAATCATTCATGATGCTACTGCTGCAGCAGCCGCTGCTTAGACCAACAACCGTCGATCCAACTTGCCAATCACCGTCTGCACCTTAGACTTTGGGGCCCCAGATACCCCGGAGCCGCTCTGCGGCCCCCCTTTCTCCTCGTCCGCTCCCCGTCTGGGCGTCGAGATCCGTTGTGCGATCACCGAGATTTCCCAAGGCCAGCCGCCGTACGCACCCTGTCCTGACCTGCATATGCCCTCACTGGACAGAACAGTACGCGGGGTGATGTGATGCCACTCGCGGGAGAGATGTCCATGCTCTGAGCCCGTCATGGCAGATTTACCCCAGAACCCAGAAGCACAAAACATCCGAGATCTCGAGATTTCCCCAGCTTATCGTCAAGCGAACTGCCCATGTTGTGTGAGCTGGCCATTAGTCGTGCGTCACAGCATCTCATCTCGACTCCCCAGAAATATTCATCTGGGGTTAACGGCCGCCATGCTGTGACCATGTCCTCCCCGCAACCCAGATCTAGCATCATGCCTTAGTATCATGTAGTCCTCTCTCGCCTCTTGTGTGTCTCAAGTCCTGACTCAACTACACTAACTCTACTCCCAATCCCGTCCGCACGGATCCCACTACCTCGAACCGTACAGTCTGGGACTGTATACCAACCAGCCAGCCCTGCCTGAGGTGAATCAAGGTCAGCAAGCACAAGAGCTAAGCTACACCGTAGCTAGTGCATGAAATCCGCAGGGCTGGCGCGGATTAGCATCAAGGAACACGGCACGCTCACCGCGGTGGGACACGACGTTCCGGAGGTGTCGTCGTTGGCCAAGGAGGCACCGTCGTCGTTCTCGTTCGTATCCTTCAGGGCGCAGATCCCCAAGATGCAACGATAGAGTCGTAGCAAATTTCATTCACGGATTCTCGGATTCGCTCACGCGAGCGGGCAGGCAAACGGCCAAATCTCCATGAGATTCATGGATGCATATTCAGCTACTCTCACCGTCCGTGCCATGCTAGGCTCAACCCCGTCCACCCCATCTCAACTTGTCAAACGCTGCTAGCTCCGCCGCCTCCCTCAAGCCCTCGAGCGCCCCCCAAGCCTCTCATCCTGGGGGAGCCGCAATAGCCCCACTTCGGAGCCGCAATCGTTGCGGACGCAGATCACTGATCCGCAGCTAGTCCGAGACTGTCTGGGCCCTGGAATTGACAACTCGCCGTCTCGAGTCTCGAGCCTCGTTTCTCATTTCGACCTGCGTGTTAGTTGCTCTGTAGGCAACACCGCTTACTTTTTTCTCGCTAGCTGTTCACTTCTCACTTCTCATGACCCTCCTTCTCTCATCAAAGGGGGTTTGTGCGTTCCAGGGGTTCAAACCATCCAGCCCCAAGTCCCAAGTCTCAGGTCTCGTCCTGCCTGCCGCATCATATCGCAACCCTTCACGACTCGCATCGCATGCACTATACCGTACCTACAGTAACTTCACGTAATTATGTTCCCACAACCTGGGACATGGCTCTGGTGCATCAGGAGGCGCAGACTAGAAGCTTGAGCTGGTCGTCATCATCTCCACTGGCCTTGATCAAGTGCAAACTGGACTGTAGTCCGCATGAAGCCTTGACTCTCTGCCTGCGCCTTTGAACCTCGTCGACATGAAACCCTGCGAGCGCGGCGCCAGTAGACGGATCCCCGACTTCCGTTTACCTACCGCACTGCACATCACAGCAAGGCATCCCCTTTACGCAGTAGCGCGCCCTCCTGCTCGTCCCATCATCGACGACGGCTCCGTCCTGACGCAATTCGCCTTTTCCAAGCGATCCACGAAAGGAGAACGCTGGCATCACCTGGTCGGTAGTGGGGATTAGCGCCTAGCGCCCACCGCTTCCGCGTCCTCGCAGCGATCCTTTTGTGCAAGCGATTGAGTGAATGAATTAGTGAAGGAAATCCCGTCCCAGAGATCGTGTTTGGGTCGGTCTCACAGCTACTGGCGGAGAACTGAGGTGTGCGCCTAGCGCGAAGGGCGTGGGCCCAGTGCCTGCATCTCATCCTTTCTCCTCACGAGAACCACCCGGGGAAAAAGGACGTCGCGGCCAACGAAACAACAGTAAAATCCTCCGCACAGGTCCAAAAGGGTGCTGTATCGTTGTCCTGTACAGCACTGCCCGGGCTCTCTTCCGGCATAATCAACCCTGATCCATGCTCTTGTCAATGCAGCAGTTGCTGACGCTGGTGCCCCGGCTGTGAAGCAGATTCAGTGGTTGACACTTAATCAATCGGATCGCTCACATGCCGCCCATCTCGTTGCAAAAGAAAAAGAAAAAAGAATGGTTGATCCTTGACGCACATTCCCATCCACTCGGATAGAATCTGATCAAAGCGACTGCGGCAGATGACATGGCGCAACTCGGTTGGTGATTTGTCCCGGAATGCTGCTGCTCAACTACTGCTGAGGTTGTCTGGCAAGCACACTGGTGCGGTCCGGCGCCGGATCCGAATCTTGATGCGATTTGGCATCTCCGAAAAGCGGAATTTGAGAAACTGAAAGATAGGCAGTTGTGCATACCGCGCCTATTCAATTGATGCAGTCCAAGGCCAACGGAAACTGACCGAAACGATAGGTGCCGTAACCGTTCCGGCCAAACGTCAATTCCGTTGTTGGGGTTCTCGGCTGGCTTGTTGGAGAGGAGAGTTGGAGAAGCTGGCCAAATCACACCTCACTTGACGGAACGAGAATGCACCGGAATCTGAGTGCAGAAGTAGCGTCCGCATGTGGGAGTCCCCTGTTGCTTTTGCGAGACGGTGTTGTCGGTCGGTACATGCAGTCTCTCCATCGTGGTGGGCGGTCAACGTCGAAGGAACCGTCAGGAGGGCAACTAGTTTCGAGCCGATCACAGATGGACTGCGAATAGAAACAAGAGGCCGTGATGGCATCGTCATAATGCTATATCAAAGAACCAAATGTCAAGAAATCGGCAACCCGTAGAAGGTGGCCAAGGCAAATGCGGAGCCCCACAACTCGCATAGCCGACCCAACATGGCAATGCTCAACCGCAGCCGAATCGCGGAGGCCAAGGTGTGCTTCGGTCAGCTAAAATCGTCCTCCTCATTGGCTGGAGCGTCATGCGCTTGTCCGCTTTCGGAAACTTCCATCGATCCGAGATATGCCACCACGTGGTCGTCCGCAAAAAGGTGGGTCCTCTGTAACATCCGATGACGCACTTGTTAGTTGTGTCTTCTGTTTGTGGTTCATGGCAGCCAAAAAGCGTTGAGATGTGTGGAGGAAGCTCGGTGTGTGACCGAGCTCCCAGTTCTTGGGCCTCGGGATGGGTGGACTCGCCAGCCAAAATGCGGAGGAGTTCCTTAGGCTTTTGAGGGGAACGTCCGGGGGTGAAGGGAAGAAATCTGGGGAAGTCTGCCAAGATCTCACTGAACTGCCGAGTGGCCAACTTTGACCTTGTTCATGAACCATGGCCATGGGGAATGAGAATTGGCATGCGTCAGTTCAAGTCCCAGAATGCCATTTACTGTATTGCCATGATCACTCGATCCGGCAATTTCGCCACCCGTTGTTGCTTCAACGTCGAAACTTGAGTAGGGCTGAATGAAACAGACTCTCTAACACGTACCTGTTGCTCCAATGCCTCGGTTGCACTCTCAAGCACACTAGCCTCAACCTCCCAGAGTGTTTCCGCTGCTCGGATACACTCCTCTCTCACAAGTCCGGCCCGGCGCAACGGGTCCAGTTGATCATGGGAAATCTCGGAGGGGAGGTGCGTCAGCTGGGTAGACACCACCTCGTGCAGGACGGTCACCACTCGAAGCCTAAACACCTGGCAGAGGGGGTGTTGCTCGATGAGGACTTCAAAGTCGTCCGCCCGTGCCGTCACGTCCTGGTCTTGCCAGAACAGCTTTAGCTCCCGCCCTCCGTCCTTCCCCTGCAGCACCCTGAACTCGAGACCATCTTCCTCATTCAGACACATGAGGTAAGCAAACGGGCTGCGCCAGCTTAGTTTCCCGTCTGACCGAGACAACTTCAGCGTAGGCGGTGCCTTGAAGATGTGGAGCTTGGCCTTTCCCAGCGGATCATCGGGGAGGGCCTCCAGAGGCAGAGTCAAGTCGTGGGCAGCCGAGTCTCGGTCAATGAAGCCGTAGCTGAAGAGCATCTCTGCAGGGGACTTGTCCCCATAGGAGATGGACACCTCTTCCCCGCCTGTCACCTCCACGCCTAGCCGCAGCAGTAGCACAACATCATCCTTGTCGTCCTCCTCGTAGTATGCAGTCGGATCATGTGAGTGGTTGGCCATGTCGAGACCAGGGACCATGGCGTCCCCAGCTCGGGGAAGTTCCAGGCAACGGGAACGATACAGTGCATCGATCAAGATCCAATCTTGGATAGTGGCTGTCTCCTTCTCCCAAAAGAGCGAGTTCCAAAACGCCAGCCCCGAGGATTTTTCGCGGAGTTCATCAAACTCGTTGTTAAGTGCCGCAAGCTTAGCCTCGAGCGCAGCCTGGAGTAATTCGTTAGGGTCCTTTTGTCCAACCATGGGGAAATTCTCCGACAATCTTCATATCCGCCATGAAATGATTGCGGTTCCGCAATCAAAGAGGCTAGGCGTCAACGCAAGTCTGGGGAAGCACTCACCTCTAGCGATGTGCCCTGCAGGAGAGCTCGCTCAACTTCCGACCACATTGTTGGTACGGGGACATGGCGAGGCAGAAACTTCAAGTACTCGGTCCACGGAGTCGAAGCAGGCCCCCGAGAGCCGGAGGGACCTTTTGCGGAGAGGATGAGGTGTGTTAGGAGATACAATAGGATGTCCTTCCTCGTAGACTTGGCAGTGTCAGCAGTTGCCTACACCGCCCATAGCCTCTCTTGTCCATCCTGGGGAAAGGCTTGAGAAGTGCTGAAGGTGTTACCTGATGTCCTGCAACATCGAGAAGTTGACGGAAGTTCTGGTCGACCTTGGTGTATTCCTCAATGGCAGCTGCTGATAGGACCAAGTCGTGGGGAATGCGAAGCAGCTGCACTGGGTCGTGATCGGTGTCTTTGCCCTCATCTTGACCTCCAATTGTGGTTTCAGTCCTAGCTCTTTCGCCATCTTTTCCATCTCCAACTGATAAATCATCTCCATTCTCATTGGCGTTTGATGTCGTTTCCTTGGTTGGCTGTGCTGTCGTCTTCGTTGTCGTCTTCAAGTCCCTCGCTGCCACCAAACCAATTCCCTTCACATCCGTCTCCCTCAGCTCAGCGTTGGTAAAGTCCACATCGTTAAGTCGCGCCCAGGCGGGGAAAGACGCAATTGATAGTGGTTGGCTCGATGCCATGGCCAGAAGCAGAGCAAAAAAAAAAAAGAGGCTCAAAAAGAATCAAGGCGGGAAAAACCTCTTAATAAAACAAGCGCACCTTATCGTGGCTTCTTCCTTGCACCTTGGTTGAATGACTTGAATGGCCGAGCGGGCAGGTACGTAGAGGAGATTGATGTCCGGCGGTTATGTCCCGCTTACGGCCGCCGGGCACGATATTCCGACCCACTTCAGCCTCCTTGGCCGAGCACCAAATTTGCGTCAAGAGGCCTTCCATTCGATGGCATCGCCGCCTCATGGCCCTGCTGCGTTGCCTATTGCATACAAACAATCCCCCCACAAGCCTGTAACCTCGGGCAAGACAAGGGCGAGAACGCACTGGAAGCACTTGCACAGCCGCAGGAACAGAAAACTCGCGCTGCCTGGGCCTTGTTCTTGGTCTTGGCCCTCCTCTAGCATTTGTCCTCGGCTCTTGATCTCTCAAGCGCGCGCCGGACCAAGCCCGTTCGCCGCCGGCTGCCGTGTCTTGCATCTCGGAGACTCGGTCTTACGTCCCCTGCTTCTTACTTGAGCCTCGCTCGACTCGGACACCTGGTTCCCGATCCTCCCTCTCTCTCCTCTTCCGTCATGCCTCGCGATCCGCTTATCGGCCTCGTGGGAAAGCCCTCGGCTGGAAAGAGCTCGACGCTCAACAGCTTGACCGACGCCTCCTCTAAAGTTGGTTGGTACAAAGACCCTAGCCAAGCTGCCGCAGCTCGGCGCTGATCCCAACTTTTATATAGGCAACTTTCCGTATGTCTCGTCTCCTTCATGAAGCCCGCGCCTTCTGTGTAAGCTGTTTCCTCTCTGGAAGCTGACCTTGGTCTTCAGATTCACTACTATTGACCCTCAGCGAGCGATTGGCTACCTCCAGATCGAATGCGCCTGCGCGCGGCACAACGTATCAGATAGATGCAAGCCCAACTACGGCGCATGCGTTGAGGGCCGACGCTCTGTGCCCATCGAGCTTCTCGATGTCGCCGGTCTCGTCCCCGGTGCCCACGAAGGCCGTGGCCTGGGCAACAAGTTCCTCGACGACCTGCGCCATGCCGATGCGCTGATCCACGTCGTTGACGCCTCCGGCACAGTTGATGCTGAGGGCAAGGAGACAAGAGGATACGACCCCTCGGTAGATATTGCGTGGCTACGAAGCGAGATTGTGGCTTGGGTTCTCGGCAACCTCATGCAGCGATGGGGGTCGATCCGACGAAGGCATCAGGCTATCAAGGCAACGGCGACAGAGACGCTACAGGCCCAATTCTCCGGATACGGTGCGACGTCGACTATCGTGAACAGGGCGTTGGATCGCTGTGGGATCAAGGAGCCTCTGGAAGACTGGAGCGACGAGACGGTTGAGCGTGTGGTCAACGCCTTCATCGACGAGAAGTTCCCGACGGTCATCGCCCTCAACAAGATTGATCATCCAGACGCCGACAAGAACATCGCCAAGATCGCCAAGCAGCAGGATCCAAACACCATTGTGCTATGTTCAGCCATCTCAGAGATCTTCCTACGAAAGATGGCTAAGCAGGGATACATCAAGTATGTCGAGGGTAGCGAGTTCATCGACACCAAGGAAGACCTGATTGAGCAAGGCGACCCCACCGGCGGTGGCCTCAAGGACCTGGATGAGAAGAATCGCAACCGCATCGAAAACCTCAAGGACATGGTCCTCTACCGATTCGGATCCACGGGTGTTGTCCAGGTCTTGTCAAAAGCTGCCGAGCTGCTGGGTCTGGTGCCCGTCTTTCCTGTCCGGAACACCACCACCTTCACCTCCGGCGCCTCCGAGTCCAAGTTCGTCTTCCGAGACTGTGTTCTTGTCAAGAAAGGCAGCACCGTCGGCGACGTGGCGCGCAAGATCATGGGCGATGCACCCATTGCGTTTGTCGAAGGTGCTGGGAATATCCGAGTTTCTGAAGACGATACCGTAGCTGTAGGGAAGAACGACGTAGGTCTATCCCGTTCCTAACCTTGCTGAGTTTCTGTTAACCATGCATAGATTCTATCTTTCAAGGTTGGTAGGGCCTAAGTGTCCTACTTCGGCGCCGCTGAGCCAACCATCTATCATGAGATCCGAGTTATAATGATGCATGTCCGTTCGAGGTTGTAAATATACGGGGAGGCGTTGGGATCGTTATTATTAGACTCGGACACGAAAAAGTCTGGTATAGAATTCGGGGGCTCGGTCTAGAAAAGCATTCAATCAAAACAGTTGCTGAAGGCAGGCTCTTCCTATAATGTAGGCTAACAAAACCAACACCCGGTTAAAGCGTAGCTACCACGCATGCATTCCAGTTTCTCGCAAACTTGGGCAAGGAACTGTGCTGTCAGGGCCTTCTCGGCCCAATCCTCTCATAATCCATACATTCCTCCGTACAGCCCTTTCTTAGGGGTTCTTCAAATACGACTTCCTTGACTTGTACAAAATCGAATTACTCAAATTGACTCCTCGATTTGGAGAGGCCATTGCCGTGCTCTCTCTCCCCAGACAAGCTCCACGTTGTACTTGGCAGCCAGGCCACGGAGCTGGTCCAACGCGATGCCCTGTACTGTGGTCTGGTAAATCTTCCGCAGGTGCGTGACCTTCAAGATGGCCTCAATCACGGTGCAGAATTCGGGTCCCTCGTAGTGGGCAGAGTTGATCTCGATGACCTCGAGGTTGGGAAAGGTAGCCAGGAAGCTGGGCAGGGGCAGATCGTCATCGTTCTTTGGATACGAACGAAATCTAAACTCAAAGATGCCCAGACACTTGATAGACTCGGCACCGCGCAACCATTCATGTTTGTCGAGGTATTCGACACTTATTGATCCTTGGGGGGTGCCAAAGGGCTCGAGCGGGAAGACCAAGTCGAGTGTGTGAAGTTTGTGAGCTGCAATGGCATCACTGAGGACCGCTTGGAGGTTCGAGGGCGGGATCAGCGCTCGGGCGAGTCGCAGAGAGTGCAGGTTTTTGTACTGGTTACCATAGTTGAACTCGTCACTGTCCATTGTCGCAGGTTGCTGGTTTAGCATGTTGGACAGCATCCTCAGGCCAAGCGGCCCCTGCTCGTCGTACTTCCAGCGAAAGTCGAAGTCAACGTACTGCAGTGTGTCTCCTTGTCGTATCGAAGCTAGTTTCTGGATGGTTTGTGCTGTTTCAGGGTCATTGTCTGTCGAGCCATGCATTATAACCACGTTGAGATTTGGCCATAATTCGTCCAGCTCGGTATCTTCAGGCTGATGCCCTGATAGTTGCACGTCGCCGAGCCAGATCTGACGAATATGTGGTGACCCAGCTGCAATGGTCCACTGTGTATTGTTAGCCACGGTATCGTCACGATCACGGGAAAGCTTACGATTCCCAACCGAATAGGGTTGGGTTTATTCTGTTCTTCGATTCGCAGATATTGCAGGTTGGGTAGGCTTGGAAACCCAAAAGTTGTGGTCGTTCCGACTTGTGGCAGGCCACGGAGGTGAAGGTTCTGTATGCTTTCAGAAGCCAGTGTCAACAGTGGCTCCAGGATGTGAGGTTTTCCAACGAGTATTTCGTCAAGGAAGACGCGGTCGAGTTTCTTGAAGAGTGTTTTCGCCATCGGAATGTGCAGGTCCTCTTCAATGTTGCCTCGCAGAACAAGGGACTCGAGGTTGTCTGACCCTTGTAGGAGAGTAATGAGCTTTTGTTGCGTGAGACGGAATCGCAACACGCTATCAATGACGATTTGCCGAACATCCTTTCCTGAGTAGGAGATTAGTTTCTTAAGAGAAGCGTTACTGGGAGCATATCGGTGAGGAAACTGCTTTGTGAACAGCAAGGCCCGCCAGAACCGCTCGTTGCCCCGGCTTGTGAGATATTGCCGCCAGTCCTTTGAGACGCGGAGACACCGCACGATGGTGGCGAAGTCGAGATACTGAAAGATGCGCTGTACAATCTCCCTAGGGTTCCTTAGAGGATCCCGACGATAGTACCAAACATGAAGCGGTTGTCTTGCAGAATGGAGCTTCTATGGTCCGGTTAGCAGTCGGTTTTTGCAAGATACTCTTGCAGTGGAATCCTACCTGGAACTTTGGAGATCCTGCGAGTTGATGCTTGTTTCCAACCTCGATGCCGGCTGTGTAGACGTGCCATGCGAATTCGTGTTTCTTCTGGAGGCGCGCGATCTTACCCAGCCGTAGATATCCCTGCCCGTGTCAATAACCGGCAAGACCAAGATCGTGGGGTTCTTACATCTGGGAGACGAGGCGCCAGCTCAAGAATCCACTCAGCATCTCTCTGCGCTCGATCGAGCGCCTGAAGCACCTCCCAGGTGGCTGCTCGATAGTCAAGCGCATGGATGTGGTGTTTGTTGTCGCACTTGTTGAACGTCTTGCCTACAGGGCACTTGCAGGTGTACATGGCCTCGTTGAATATCGAGCCGCCCTCCTGTGCCACCTTTTCGAAGTCCTTGCAGGTGCAGCGTTCCCGTCTCGTCTGGCGGTTGCAAGGACACATCCTCATTGCCTGTAACATGGTCAGCAGCTACATCGGATTGTATGTAGTCGGCGTTCTCACTACTGTAAACAGCGCGAGGGCGTGCTTGAAGCGCTTGGCTCCATAGTGCTGGCGACCTGCAGCAATAGCTGCTTCCTGTGTTTTGGGTTTTTCAAGATCCATGATGTTTTCGGATCGTAATCCGGGATCTGAAGCCATACCGAGCCAATTGAGGTTGCCAGCTGGTTTGTAGAAGTATCAAGGTCTCATTGAGGAGGAATCAGATATGCGATTGCAGCTCTTGGCGAAGTGGCCGAATGGATCCAAAGACCAGGTCTACTTCTTGTCAACTCGAGTTCCCAAGCTCTCCATAAATACTGTATATCTCAGGCTGCCCAAGTGGCGAGGTTGGGCCATGAAATGCCCGAGCAACAATATTTCCAAGACAAGGAGCGAGGTCGTTGCCATTGGAAGCTCTAGGGTTGTCTCACCTAATGATGGGCCTAGGAGAGCTTGACTTGGAACGGCGCGATCGGCGTGCGTGCCACGAGGGAGGAAGCGCCAGAATGACCCACGTCGCGCGTGGCTGTCACTATTGTTATTTCCTCTCTTGGATGATAGTGCGGCCTCTTTACATGGGGCAATGATAATAGAAGAGTTGATCTCGTTGTTGCGCTTCTCTTTCGCGTGTGTAAATCGATGAAATCAAGGTGCAGCAGGTAGCTCAGCAACGCGCCGCAGCTATCAAGCGGCCCCGCTTTTCTTCCCGCCTACCTACCCTACACCGACGACCATGAACACCAGTTCGACCTCCAAATACCATCCCGCAGTGCCATCACGTTTTTCAGGCTTTCTTGCATATTTGCTTTTGTTGTTTTCAAACTAGTCATCCCGATATTGATGCCCAAGGTGACATTAAAAGTGTTGATAATCGTTCACTAAGACAATGCCAGGCATGATCAGCAAGCCTCAACTCCACCGTTAATAATGCCATCACACTCTTCACAACTCTCGGAGCCTCAACCCGCGGTCTCGTATTCGGGGCTTCGATAGACGAAAGCCACTGACTTAACCCAGCATATCATCCCTTGGATCGTGGTCTGCCCACGTTTCTTTCCACTGCCTTTCGAGAAGACGTGCTGCCCCCACTCTCTCCAACCGTGCTGCATCCCACATCACATATCCCCAATGTCGGATCTCATCTGGGATATAGTCTCCATACAGCTTGCTATAGGACTCGTTCCATAGCATCGTCCATGCTAATGGAGGACATAACTCGTTGTCCCCTAGAAAAGGCATATGGTCCGGTCGTTCTTGGTTATCGCCAGGCGACCCAGCATCATCTCTATGCCGCCTTTTCTGAGCAGCCTTGCTTAGAATTGCGTCTTCAAGAAAGGATCCCCCAAACCAAACAACAGAACTCCCAATAAGGACTGAAAGATACTCATCATCCATGGTCAAGATAGCGTGAAGGATGGGGAGACCTTGAGAAATAGTGCTCTTTAGGAGGGCAGTCCTAATTGCTGGAGTACAGTAAGACATTAGCAGGATGCTTTCTAAAGGGACAGAAGACGGCGCCAACATACCGGTATCGCCCAGATCATGACTGTGCCCTGGATCTGGTACCTTTCGTGGCCTTCTTTCTGCATCATCCCCAGTGGTGCCCCGCCAAACAGCCTCGAATACGCGCTCAAACTGTCCATTGGCGAACGAGTAAATACACACCATCTCTTCAATCTCCCATGGCTCGAGTAGACTGATGTAGTCGGTCAAGATACGCATCGTTCGCCTGTTCCTGCTTAAAGTAGATGATTCTGGAAAGTTTGCCATAGTGAACAGATTGCAACACAGTTGAAATCGGTAAAGTCCCCTGATCAATCGAGCCTGTTCGACCTGGCTTAGTGGTTCTTGATCGACAATCCGGTTTGTCTCCTTAGATAGAGCTTCCAGGGCATGTGGAATGTAGAGCTGCATGATAGGGTCGACGGTGGAGTAATGAAATGCGGCGATCCCGACGGCTAGGTTCTCGGTGATACTCTTCCTGAGGATCGAGTAGGAACCGGATGCTTGCTGATGCATGTAGGCCTGACGAAAGTTGGAGATAGTTTCGTCATTCGTAATACTGGGAAACTTGGACGACCTGGCAGTTTGGTAGACCCAATACGCATCCAGGACAGTTCTCCCAAGAGTCCTTTCTAGACACAAGGAGAGGATAGACCGACGCTCCAAGACATACTGGCGGTAAAAAACTGGAGAAGCGTGGACCATGTTGCGTAGAGAGGAGAGGTCAAGCGTGGTGAGAAGTTCATGTCGTACCTCTGGTGGTAAATTCTCAACCATGGCATCTGACGTGGGTGTAGAGTGTGTTGGTTCCATGTCGAGATCGACAGCCAGAAACCGGAGGAGTCGCCAATCTTTCGTGGCTGGGAGAAGTTATCCCGAAAAGCAACGAGGAGACTTGGGGGAAACTGAATGGTTGCGGGGAGAGAGGCAGCCATGCCACACAAGCCGAAGAAGAGACCGTTGCCCATGTCCTAATGCACAAATGGTGACACAGCCGGATTGGATTTATGCCCAACATGCCACCAACTCGTCCGGATGGAGATCGTAGTCAATATGGGAGGACTGCAACCCCTTTCATGTTGCTCAATACCTATTCTCTTTCCCGTAGGCTGATAGTTGCGGCCATGAAGCCTCTGACACCGTTACTGAGCCAGCATTCTTCGCCGTCGGTAAGTGATTTGACATTTACAGCTTGCTCAACCGCCAATCCTCTGCTTGCGATGTCAGTGCCAAATCTTCAGCTGGCTGGGAGAAACATACCTCTCTAATGCCCAACGTCTCGATGTTCCATCTTGACCACCACTACCTTCATCCCAGCTGAACTTGGCCGAGATTGGAGGTGTAACCCAACGACCATCCCTCCAGAAGTAAGGAGTAGTCCTAGTCCCTTCCATCACAGACCCGTCATCTTGATTAATGACGAGTACTTCTGCGAGATCTGTTGGAGAAACGCCAGCTCTTTGACCAGCAGCGTCGTACATGGCTCTTTTCGTGGTCTTGAAGTGGGTATACTCGGACCTCAAGGTTGAGGTCTGGTCTACGAGGAGAGTATAGGTGGGGGATTTTGTCGGTTCGTCTGCCAATGAAGCTGATGAAGGAACGGGCAGCCGACTTGGCAACAAGTTTTCCAAGGGTGTCTCGGGAACGTTGAACTTCTCGACCTTGATGTCCCCTTCACGAGACACTACGATTCTCAGTCGCAGAGGTGTCCCCGGAGGTGACTTAACGGCCTCGTTTATCAGCTGAGCAAGAGACTGAAGTCCACTGACACCTGACAATCGATCAATTGCTGGCTGCCAGTTCCAATGTGTTGCTGCTCGGAGTAGACGATCACGGTGAAAGTCGAGCATGTAGAGTGGTGACTCATTTTCAAAGTTCCAGCCTTTGCCATTGAGCCCTTGTTGCCGAAGCTTTTGAAGCTTTGGATCGTACCTCAATGAGGTGAATAGAGAAAATTCGTCACTCATTTTGCCAATGACTTGACTGAGAACTGGTTTCAAAGATAAATGATTGTTGCTTGTCGAGGTGGGGTTGATGCGGTTCAGTTACCATTAGTCAGGTACTCGGAAGTTTAGCGACAGGACTCAACCTCCAGCCTGGTAAGAGGTGGGGGACATGTATCTGGGCTCTGAAAACTCGTAACCTGCTAAACTAGGCGGAGGGATCACTGCGAGATTGGCCATCTAACTGAAACATACAGTATGTACTGACACCTATGTACAGATCATCCATCTTGCAAGTGACGAAAGCCTGAGGGTTCTGTGCCCTAGGCACCAATTGACTATCCGTACGGCACACCCCTCTCAATGACGATGACGCTATTGAAGTTCTGGCAGCTGTATCGAATTGGCATTGGCCAAGTCCCATCCTCTACGTACATGGACTAGATCAGTCGCTACTTGCTCAACTAGCTGATTGGATCGCAATTGCTCGGATCGGCTCTAGACCAGTGCGGCGGCATCATGTATCTTATCGTGTGAAAACCCCCCGCAACAAGTCACCTCATTATTGACGTAAATCGCCAGACCGCTTGAAGCCGGCGGTAGGGGCCGCAAACAGACGATGCAATCTCTTGGCCGTCTCAAGAACCCATGTCGGCTGAGCCGAGAAGGAGCAAGGTCCGTGTGTATAGGACGTGTGGTGTTTATGTTCTGACTTGGTGGGATGTTCTCATAAAGCCGGCGTCATCCGAGTGCCTCAGGCATACGTCAGTCAATCCATCATTCAGCAGGTGCTGGAACTAACCGGAAAAACTTTCAGTGGGCCCCGGCCCGCAGTCTTGCTGGAGCCAGCGCCAAATTTCAAAGACGGCCGTCAGCTTTTTTTGCGCGTGCTCCAGCTCGCCGTAGCTACCACTCCATTGCAGGTATTACCGCGCCCATACATCATCGGCTTCCCGACTGCTTCTACCGCATCGACGGCCTCGATTCCATCCTCACCTCCCGCCGGTCCCCTTAATCGTCCATAGGCCTCGTCATGTCGGCTCCGACTCCGTCAATGCCTCCGGGCAACCCCACGGCTATCCCTGTCGACCCTTCCTCTGGAGTCTGGGACCGGATAACAAACTGGGTCTCAGAGAACAAGGCCGTTGCCTACACCATTGCCGGTGTCTCCGTCGTTGTTACGGGCGCCGGTATCGTCTACTACCTCTCTGATGTATGTCTTGTCAACCCCGCTTCGACATTTCTGCTGCTGCTGCTCCCTCCCACTAGTTGGTGCGGGCAGGCTGGTTATGGCATCGAACCATTTCCTCGTCATGATGAATCTCAAACTGACGTCTCGCCCCAATCTCTAGTCCTCCAAAGATACATCCCCCAAGCTCAGCAAGAAGGAGAGGAGAAAGCGCAAGGAGGCCGAGCGCAAGGCTGCTGAGACCAAAGAGACCCCCTCCACCGGTCCATCTCAACCCAAGCCCGTGACTGCCGAGAGCGAGCCGGAGCTGCCCGAGATCGATGAGGAGACAGTCGCTACTCTCACCCAGCAGCAGCGTGATGAGTATGCCGCAAAGCTGAAGCAGGCCGGTAACAAGGCCTACGGCGACAAGGCCTATAACAAGGCCATTGACCTCTACTCCAAGGCCATTCTCTGCAAGGCCGATCCCGTCTTCTACTCCAACCGAGCCGCCTGCCATAGCGCCATGAGCGAATGGGACCAGGTCATTGAGGATACCACCGCCGCCATCAGCATGGACCCCGAGTACGTCAAGGCCATCAACCGCCGCGCCACCGCCTACGAGCACCAGAAGAAGTACTCCGAGGCCCTGCTCGACTTCACTGCGTCATGCATCATCGACAACTTCAAGAGCGAGTCTACCGCCCAGGCCGTCGAGAGGCTTCTCAAGACCTTTGCCGAGCAAAAGGCCAAGGAGATGATGGCTTCCCGACCACCCAAGCTGCCCAGCCCCATCTTTGTCGGCAACTACCTTCAGAGCTTCCGCCCCAAGCCCCGACCTGCCGGCCTCGAGGAGTCGGAGGAGCTGGACCCCGAAACCGGCAAGGGACAGATGCAGATCGGACTTGAGGCACTGGAGAAGAAGACTGGCGATGGCTACGAGGAGGCGCGACAGGCGTTTGAGAAGGCTCTTGAGCTTGGCGATCTCGGCGAGTATGAGGCGCTCGCCTACAACATGAGGGGTACTTTCCGCACTCTCCTCGGCAACCACGCCGATGCCACCAACGACTTCGACAAGAGCATCGAGCTTGACCCCACCATGACCCAGAGCTATATCAAGAGGGCGAGCATCAGCCTGGAGCTTGGCGAGCCTGATAAGGCCGAGGCCGAATTCGCCAAGGCCCTGGAGCAGGACAACAACGACCCCGACGTCTACTACCACCGTGCTCAGGCTCACTTCATCAAGGGCGACCTCGCCGATGCCCAGAAGGACTATCAGAAGTCAATTGATCTCGACAAGGATTTTATCTTCTCTCACATCCAGCTCGGTGTCACCCAGTACAAGATGGGCTCAATCGCATCCTCCATGGCTACGTTCCGACGATGCATTAAGAACTTCCCCAAGGTGCCCGATGTCTACAACTACTACGGCGAGCTGCTCCTCGACCAGGGCAACTTCTCGGAAGCCGTCGAGAAGTTCGACACTGCCATGGAGATGGAGAAGCAGACCAAGCCCATGTCGATGAACGTGCTGCCCCTCATCAACAAGGCCCTGGCTCTCTTCCAATGGAAGCAAGACTTTAAGGAGGCCGAGGCTCTCTGTCAGAAGGCCCTTATCAGTAAGTACCCTGAGTGATATCGGTTTGAGTGTAATCTAACTGTCATCTAGTCGACCCTGAGTGTGATATTGCCGTCGCCACTATGGCTCAGCTCCTCCTCCAGCAGAACAACGTGCCCGCTGCTCTCAAGTACTTTGAACGCGCCGCAGAGCTCGCCCGAACCGAGGGCGAGATCGTCAACGCCTTGTCATATGCTGAGGCGACCCGAACACAAGTCCAGGTCACCGAGAAGTACCCCAAGCTGGCAGCCAAGCTGGCGGGTGGTGGTCCCGGTGGGCTCCGAATGGGTCCCCAATAACTGAACGTGATATAAATGACAAAAGATGGCCGGAACGGCGTGTACGTGTACGAAATTTGGGAGCAACGACGTGACCAAGAGGAAGGGAGGGAACGGAAAGATCCATTGTCGAAACCGGACGGAATGCGGGACTGGCATCCATGATATGCCCGCCGTTCCGTCTTCCGAGGGAGCTCGTCCGGCTGGGTGCGCTGCCCTCGTCGTCTCACAGGGAAGTGAGGCCCAATGCTCTGGAGTTGGGACTGTAATGTGCACAATCGAACCCTACTGTACTGTATATAATAAGCACTTCTCTCATGTCTTGTTTCAGCATAACGGAATTGTGAGGACGGACGGACGGGAAGCGCAACAGGTACTCGGGAACATTTGGGCATGGTTTGGTGAACGGAGAGTTTAAAAAAAATACAGTCGTTTCGTTATGCCTGCTGCCACTTGAGCCTGTGAGGTCGATGTAGAGTGCGGCCGATAATGGCTTGGACATTATTATACCTACGTGGGAGCTCTTCCAAACCATGGATCTCATGCATCCAAGACTTTTCTGGATCACCTCCCTCAGTTGAATAGATACATACAGCAACCCCAGTGCCTCTCTCCCATCCCACTCTGTCCTCCATCATGCGAGCAGAACAAAAGGTATTCCTACAGGAGAAGCGAAAGGGTGTGAAAAAACAACCACCGATCCAGTAAAACAACCAAGATAAAACCCTCCCAGCGAGAAGCATTTCGTGAAACCTCCTTTTCATAAAAAAGAACTCTTTCTTGGTCCATCCTCCGTCAAGCCCTCCGTGCCTTCAAACAAAAAAAGAGGTCCCTAGCGCTCGGGCGCTTCGGGGAAAGTAAAAATTAAGTAAGTATCGGGGTGTGTGTGGTATACGGATGAAATATGTCGTATACTCTGGTCTTGCGGGTCAAGAAACGACAAGACGAACAACGGTCATGGAGATATCTATGAAGGAAGAAAACGGCGTAACAAGATAACAGCATATCATCATGGCGGTAGCGGCGAAGGCGTCACTGTTGAGGTCGAAGACGATGCCCACTTCCTCAGTTCTTGGCCACGCTGACACCGACACCAACACCGACGGCGATGGCGATGATGATGAGAAGGACGACGAGGGCGCACCACCACTTGAGCTTGCGGCGGCGGCGGGCGTGCTCGTTGGCGACCTTGACCTGCTCGTTACCCTTTTCGATGTTCTCAACCGTGTTAATAGCGTTGGTCTCGGCAGCTTGGATGACGGGCTCCTGCTGCTCGACGAGCGTGGCGAGCTCCTGGTACAGGATAGCAAGCTCAGAGAGAGTCTGCTCAATGCGCTGGAGCTCGCTGTGGCGGGCGCGGACGTTGCCAAGCACGGAGCTGGCATGTCCGGTGCGGTTCGTCCGCAGCTGTTTGAGGTTACACGTTAGCTCGGGGATCACGGCAGGGTGTGATTGTCAACACGGGGATTACTAACAGCAGTCTGGAAAACACCCTCATTGCCCCAATCGGCCTCGGCGGCCTCGCGAACCTCATCCTCGGAAGCATCGGGGTTTACGATGCGGTACTGGCGGGCGATCTGGTCGCGGTAGCGCTGCTGGTAATCGCGCTCGATGCTCTGGTACTTGTCGAGCTCCGACTTGAAAAAGGTCTTGAGGGACTGCAGCTGGGTGTTCTTTGTGGTGCGGGAGCTGTCGGTGGTCTTTGCTAGGTCGCGCTCGAGGCCCTTGATGCCGTCCTTGATGGCGGTGTTTCGGATCTGGGTCTGAGAGACATACTGCTCAAGCTGCTGGTTGGCGGTGCCGTCGGTGCTGCTGAGGGTGCGCTGGTGGAGCTGGCCGATGTAGTCGACGTCGTTGGTCAGGGCCTTGATCTCGTTGCGGAGGTTCTGAACGCGGTTGAGGAACTCCTGTTGTGAGAGGCTTGACGAGGCGGGAGGCTGCTGGTTGTAGTCCTGCATCTCATACTCATTGTCTCCCTGGACCGGCGCGTTCTGCGCATAAGGATTGGCCTGAAGCATCGCAACATCCGAGTCAGCAAATTGTGGTCTGTCGGTTGTCGGCGGGAAATGAAGCTGCGCTCGCTTCCCTATTAGGTCTGCTTACCTGACCATAGCCAGACTCCTCGGCCGGGCCCTGCTGATAGGGGTTCTGGTTGTACTGGCCGTAAGACATGGTGAACGGCGATGCTGGGTGGAAGTAGCAATGGCGGGGAGGGATGGATGATGATGGGAGGAGGAGGAGGAGGCTAAAAAGGCTGGGGGAGGGCGGGCCGTTGGTGGTGAGAGCGACGAGATGAGGCTACCGAGCTTCTTCTCTGGGGGCGCTGCCTTGGCTCGGGCTGTGGATGGGAGGAAGGAATAGCGGCCGGGGGGCCTGTTGCTGGGCGAGGGAGGAAGTGCTTATGACACCCAAGCCGAACGCCAGTGGTCAGTAAGTGGCGCGGCCCTTTTTTTTTTCTCTCCTTCAGCGGTTAGGTTGGCGGACGCAGGGTCGGACGACGGGGGCCGGGCGGACGTTTAGTGGACGGGCAGCGCTGGAGGGAATGGATGGGATGCGCTGAAACGTGACGTAGGGGCCCACGACCCAGGTTTTGGAGATGAAAGAGGAGAAACAAGACCCGTAAAAGTAATTAAGTTGAGGGGAGGAGAGCTCGGTCCAAGAAACACGAGAGACGATCGCGTGAGATTGGACAGGGGAGATTGGATTGTTTAAATCAGGAATGGATGTTGCGGATGGAACAAAAACAAGACGAGAAATGGAAATAATGATGTTCGGAACTGAGCTGCTTATGACGGTACCCAGCCATGGATGGAGGCTTACGATGCTTCCCTTCCCTTCCCTTCTCTTTCGGCAGCCTCGGGTCCACTCCAAGAATCGTTAGCAGCTCGTCCGCAGCCCAGACGAAGAAAAAAGCCCGTCAAAGGCTGCGTACGCAAGTGGCGGAAGACTGTCGTCCGGTCTCCAAAAATAAGCACTGCCTGCCCATTTGCCTACCTGGGCAGGTCTATGGCGATGAATGGAGTCAAGGACTGGACGAACCAAGGGTCCATATTTTGTTCTGCTCAGCCCGCTCGTCTTCGCCATTCCATTCTAGTCGTCAGCGATTGAGGCTGTGACCGCTTTTTTCGGCCTGCGAGATGCGAACTGCTTCCCTTCTTCCCCAGCTTGAGCCCGGTTCTGAGGCCGACCTGCCAGAGTTGCAGCTAGCTAGCCCACCCGGGCCCGTGTCCGTCGGACATCCAAGCCCAGAATCTGGGTGTGGCTTGGCCGTTGATGAGACCGATTGGCAGTTGCCAAGACCGAGATGTCGATTCCACATGCACTCAATTCATCCATGGCGTAGTCATGCGGGCCAAGAAATAAATGAGACACCGGAACGGCAGAGAATATTAACTAACTTATTAAAGATTTGGTAAATAATTTTCTATTAGTATCATAAAGTTTTTAGAAATTTATGATTATAATAGTAATACTTTCTTCTCTTTATTGATTATATTTAGAGAAGGATAAGTACATATGTTTGTGTTGCTGCCTCGTTTTTTTCTTGACCTAGGTGGTAGTCCAGCCACAGATTCCATAGACGGTGCATCGTCTAACTAGTCAGCTTCTTTCACATCAGGCTACGGTCAATGACTGGGTACCTATGTAGGTAGGTAGCAATGGAGAATATGCCTTATCATCTCTGTTATAGTCACCGTCATACACACACATTCAAGTGCTGATGTTGGTCGTCATCAACCAATAGCCACTCTCCCCTCTTGTGAACCAAAACAGCCATTTCGCCATAAAATGTTGACCGTCTGCTCAAAATCATCGCCTTAATGTCTAGCATTCTGCAACCAAGAACTCCAAACTCCCGATTTTCCCGTCCTAGGCCTCCTCCGCCACGTCACCGCTGCTGGTTGACATTCCACCATCTCGTTTTCGACTTGAATTGAGCACACAGTTCGGATATCCCACGTGGAACCGAGTGTCTCGGATAACTTGTCGTATAGGTACGATGCCGGGCCCAGAATAGGCATGCAGCCTGCCTGTGGCCTGATCTAAGATGACGGTTGACTTAGCTTGCTGCAATGTAGCAGCAGATCTGCAAGCATCGTTGGTGTGGCTCGACCAGTTTAGAGATAATTCTTCTTCTTGGCCGTTCTTGTATATTGCGTGAGATGCCATTCAACATCGCCGTCCTTGTTTTCGAGAGTACCACCCCGAATTTCAAACACTCTCATAGTCATCCGTGGTCCAACCTCGGCCAACTCGACGCTGTCGTAACCCGTCCTCACAAAGACGTGGTGTCGAACTTCAATGCTGTCCTCAATGTTCTTGAATGTCACAACTCGGTTGCCGACCTTGTTCTTTGCCGTGATAGCTTCCCTTGGAGGGAAAATATGCTTAAGAATCTTGACAACCCGCTCTCCCAGGCGAGTCGTGAAGCCATCAAAGATGAGATGAGGGTACGACTCGCTGACAGTTCCTCGCACGCTGCCGGGAATATCGTGCCGCAAAACCACGTTGTGTAAAGAAAACGAGATGGTCGGACCGTGAGGGAAATGCGACAAGGTCATCGCAGTTGGGGTACCGCGATGCTCGTGGAGAAGAACAACATCGGAGAGGCCTGCAGATTGAGCGGATCGCACGAGGTCGGGCAAGATGAGGTTACCACGGTTGAGACGGACGGCCGTGGGGAGCAGGAGTCGGATCTCCTTCGCAAAAGCTGCCAGTCTTGCAGAAGGGTCGCGGGAAGTCGTCACAAGCACGCGGGGGTCGACAATGCCCGAAAGCTGAGCATACTCGTCGTCAAGGTCAAGCTGCTCGTTCGTAGTGAGATCGGGCCGCGACTCATCGTACTGGTAGTCTTTGCGCAGAGACTTGTCGTTCGCAATGGTAGGATCCAATGGCTTTCCCGAGGCCAGCGAAGACCTCAGCTTGGCTCGCTTTTCGCTGATCTCGGCGTCTCGAAGGAGGAGAGCTCGTCGGTAGAGGTAGTCGCGCCGTTGGCGCGCTTGCTTACGCTTGAAGTCCAAGTATTAGCTGATGATGGCTCAATAAACAAGCCTTCAATTACTTACAATCATGATGAAGAAACAACAAATGCCCGCTGTGAGGAAGCTTTCTTCAAAGTTGGCGGTTGATATAAAATTTCCCGAGCGCCGCCGCGAAAAAGTTCCTTATCAGCCTTTCGGCCTGCCGCCGCTACTCGATAACAAAAGCGCCCTATCACGTGGGCGCAAAATGTCCCACCAAACTCCGCCGGCAAAGATCCAACTGTTCACCCATCGATATAATTCTGGTTCACAAGAGAACAAGTTTGTTGCCGAAACCTTGAGAAGTGCACTTAACAAGGTTCTGTGCTACCCGACCGTCTCGCTCGCCTCTGACTTTTCCTCCCGCATACTGCCACGCTCTCGACCCGGCGCATTCTTCCTCGCGATGATGTGAGCCTTACCAGCGATCTGCAACTCCCAATCACTTTCCCATCCCGACCCGAGTCGCCCCTGGGCCTCCATACGGGTCCCGTACCGAAAGAATAGAAGCTGTAGGTGAGTCGCGCTCGCTTTGGGGTGATTTTGAGGCGTTTTGGCGCTGCCCTCGTTCACTGCGTCACCGCCACCATTGCGCGGGGCACTTGTGTTGATGCTTTGGCCAAGGAAAACCCTACAAGCCGCCAACAACTTTACTACAACACCAACATGGAGGGCGCGTTTACCCATGTTGGGAATCATTTGATATCCGATTCCGCTGCCGCCATCAAGGCTGGAACCGACGACCTGTCCGCGATCGACCCTGACGAGAGCTTGCTCTATGGCAAATATGGAGATCGAAGTGGCCGTCGCCGAGCCGATGATGACGACAACCAAACCGAGGCTTTCGAAGAAGACGACAACGATAGTCTGAACAGTGTTCCGATCGATGGCTTGACTGGACTCAAGCTCAAGGGCCCCGAGGAGGAGAAGGAGCTTCCGGCCCATGCCTGCGCGTAGGTTTTCTTCCCGTCTGGATTTATCCCTGGGCCAGGCTGACAAGGGCTTAGATACTGCGGAATTCATTCCCCAGGATGCGTCGTTAAGTGCCTCACCTGCAACAAGTGGTTCTGCAGCGCGAGAGGCAATGGTACTTCTACCCATATTGTGAACCATCTTGTTCGAGCTCGCCACAAGGAGGTTCAGCTACACCCCGAGTCGACACTTGGCGATACCGTGCTGGAGTGCTACAACTGTGGAACAAAGAACGCGTTCCTCCTGGGTTTCATTCCGGCCAAGTCTGATACGGTCGTCGTTTTGCTCTGCCGACAGCCATGTGCTGCCAACACATCGAACAAGGACATGAACTGGGATACTTCACGATGGCAACCCCTCATCGAAGAACGCGCTTTCCTGCCCTGGCTGGTGGCGACCCCTTCCGATTCCGAGCAGCTCCGAGCTCGCCATCTGACGCCGAATATGATTGCCAAGCTGGAGGAGATGTGGAAGATTGAGCCCAAGGCAACGGTGGTTGATCTTGAAAAGGCCTCTAGCATCGATGACGATCCTAACCCCGTCTTGCTGCAATACGACGATCCCTATCACTACCAGAATATCTTTGGTCCCCTGGTCAAGATGGAGTCCGACTACGACAAGAAGCTCAAGGAGGCGCAGTCCGAGGACGGCCTTATCGTCCGCTGGGACTATGGTCTGAACAACAAGCACCTTGTCAGCTTCAACCTACACAAGATTGAGTCTGGCGATGTCAAGCTTGCTGTTGGTGATGAGATGCGACTCCGCTACAAGGGCGAGCTCCGATCCCCCTGGGAAGGTGTTGGCTACGTGATTAAGATCCCCAACAACCAGTCGGATGAGGTGACGCTCGAGTTGCGCAAGACCGGAAACGAGAAGTCGGTTCCTACTGATCTGTCTCACAACTTCTCGGCCGATTATGTCTGGAAGGCCACTTCCTACGACCGCATGCAGCTGGCTATGAAGACGTTCGCTGTTGACGACATGAGCGTTTCTGGCTACATCTTCCACACCTTGCTGGGCCACGAAGTTCAGTTGCAGCCTCTCAAGACAAGTCTGCCTAAGAAGTGGTCTGCCCCTGGCCTCCCTGATCTCAACCCTAGCCAGGTCAATGCCATCAAGACTGTGCTCCAGAAGCCACTGAGTCTGATTCAGGGTCCCCCAGGAACCGGCAAGACGGTTACTTCTGCCACCATCATCTACCACCTCGCCAAGATGAGCGGCAACCAGGTTCTGGTTTGTGCGCCATCTAACGTCGCGGTTGACCAGCTGTGCGAACGAGTTCACCGTACTGGACTCAAGGTTGTTCGTCTTACTGCCAAGTCTCGCGAGGATGTCGAATCGTCTGTCAGCTTCCTCGCCCTCCACGAGCAAGTGCGCATGTCGGAGCACAACAGCGAGCTCGTCAAGCTCTCACAGCTGAAGAACGAGTTGGGCGAACTGTCGAGCCAGGATGAGAAGAAGTACAAGCAGCTCACCAAGGTCGCAGAACGTGACATCCTTAACAACGCTGATGTTGTCTGCTGTACCTGCGTGGGTGCCGGTGACCCTCGTCTTTCTAAGATGAAGTTCCGCAATGTCCTGATCGACGAGTCAACCCAGTCGGCCGAGCCTGAATGCATGATTCCCCTGGTTCTTGGATGCAAGCAAGTTGTCCTGGTCGGTGACCACAAGCAACTTGGCCCAGTCATCATGAACAAGAAGGCAGCCAAGGCCGGGCTTAACCAGTCTCTCTTTGAGCGATTGGTTAACCTGAAGCTCTCGCCCATCCGACTCAACATTCAGTACCGAATGCACCCTTGCCTGTCCGAGTTCCCGTCCAACATGTTCTACGAGGGTACTCTGCAAAATGGTGTCACCCACGAGAACCGTCTGCGAAAGGATGTGGACTTCCCTTGGCCCGTTGCCGAGATGCCCATGATGTTCTGGTCCAATCTGGGCCATGAGGAAATCTCGGCCTCTGGAACATCATACCTCAACCGCACGGAAGCATCCAATGTTGAGAAGGCGGTCACCAGATTCTTCAAGGCCGGCGTGAAGCCCGCTGATATCGGTGTTATTACTCCGTACGAGGGCCAGCGAAGCTACATTGTGACTACCATGCAGAACTCGGGTACTTACAAGAAGGAATACTACAAGGAGGTTGAGGTTGCTTCAGTCGACGCTTTCCAGGGTCGTGAGAAGGACTTTATCGTTCTCTCTTGTGTTCGATCCAACGACAACCAGGGTATTGGTTTCTTGTCTGACCCTCGTCGTCTGAACGTGGCCTTGACCCGAGCCAAGTATGGCCTCGTTATTCTCGGAAACCCCAAGGTCTTGTCAAAGCACGAACTCTGGCACAACCTCCTGGTTCACTTCAAGGATCGCAAGTGCTTCGTTGAAGGCCCCCTGACCAACCTTCAGGCTTGCTTGCTACAGTTCAGCCGCCCTAAGGTGAGCTACCGCCAGAAGAACCAGCAGCCGCAGTTTGGAGCTGGCAGCTATCCCAACGGACGGTTCAACCCACCACCCGCCGCGGGCCGAGATTTCGACCTGGGCTCCATGGTGTCGTACATCCCTGACGATGTCTCGTCTGTTCACGGTTCTGCGTTTGGCGGCGCTTCACTCAACAGCGCGTTCCCTCCTATGTTCTCGAGCTTTACTCCCGATCAATGGCCCGGCCTGCCCGGTGTCGCTGCTCCTGGCCGTGGTGGAAAGGCCCGCAGCCGTGCTACGGAAAGCATTGCAGGCGAGAGCGTGGCCAATTCGGAATTCACGGATGCAACTTCAAGCGTGATCGGCGGCAAGGGTGTTGGACAGGGCGGTGTTAGCCTCGGAGCAGGGCTCCACGATGTCGTGACGGGAATGCGACCTGTTTCATACAGCCAGAGCGATCGACTGAAGCAGTACGTCGAAAGCAGCGGACGTATGGTTCCAGGTAACGGTTATGGACGACGCTTCGACGACGACGAGAAGAGCATCAGCACGGCATTCCACAGCCAGATTGGCGGTGGCTACGACTGAAGAACGACGTGAGGGCTACGAACAGATGATGACACCAATTTTGCATCTCACGGGCTCTGGTGCACGACCTGCCACCGCCGGATCACCAAGAGCGGTCGGCAAATCGTTGTGGTTCTTCAGAAAGAAGCCTTTTCCGTCAGGGGCTCCCGCCAGTCAGAGGCTCAACGCGGTCAGGCCGGCGTGAACGGCAGAGACCGTGTCGTGTCCGACTTTTGGACGCCGGCCGGCTCGACAGGCCAGGACAGAGACATGGAAATCGCGTTGCCAGCGGCTCGACCTACGACGACCACCATGGAGTCGTAGCAGGCCCGGCAGGTGCAGATTGTCTTGATCTTTAAAGAATAGCGATAGCGGAGGGGCTGGAGCGGGGATGAGGAGTGTGCAGGAGGTGTGAGTAGAGGAGAGCAGAGGGCAGGAGAGGGCAAGGATGGTCGAAGAGGACGGCTTGATGTTAATCGACCGTCGATTGTGATGATGGAGGAGACGCCTCATAAGCATGATATGATGGTGAAATCCACGTCTTAAGACTTCCTGACCACCTGGTAGTCGAGTTATGCGGTGCTATTAGTACCAAGTTGAATTTTTAACCGACCGCAGTCACCCGTTTTCAAGATAGATAGACAATTAACTTGAGTCATTCCTTTATATGTGGTGGTTGATCTGGTGAACGTGCTGGCGCAAGAGTACCAAATTGGAGGCTTGAGAGCAATGATAATCTCACGTCGAACCAAGCTGTCATCACGCAAGAATAAATTACCCTTGAACCGAGTCTATTTGACGCTAGACTCGAGGATGTTCAGCTCAGGTGTCACTCAGGTTGGTTCATACGCTCCAAGTCAGGATGTGAACAAATGGCCAGAGCGCGCCAGGGCAAGCCACAGCCCCCACGTACCGATCATTCAGGGGAAAGATGTTCCAAAGGTGATAAGCCAGAATGAAGGTCCAATGAAAAGCCAGGCATCCCCAGGGCAGAAGCAGCCAAAACTGGGCTGAGACTGGAAACAGCGCAGAGGGGTTTTCTCTCGCTGTGCCAGGGGGTTGCAGCACTAGGGAATTCCCACATAGTGCTTATGATGCACTGTAGGCAAAGCGTCAGGGGTCCAGGGCCATGGATTTTTTTCTGGGGGATAACGCGGTTTAAATGGATCAGGCAAAGTTGCGCGTTCTTGTCTTGGGATGAAGCTTGGACGTGATCTACTAATTTCTACGTCACTCTCCATCGCAACACACATCGTGGGTCATCTACGAAACACATTGGATCCAAGGACATGGAAGACAAGAATAGCTGGAAGCAGTAAATTCCTTGTCACTGTGCAAATGAGAGCATCCGGCTACAAGGTTCCATTTGGACAGAATAGCAACATGTCCTAGCACACACACACACAGTCTTCTATTCTCACCCACCCCCTGAGGCTGCATATGTAATACTTGGGGACATTTCTTATCCGTCCATCCTCCCTTGGCTTTCCCTTGGCTTGTTCCTAACCCACATCCCTCTCCATCCCATCCCATCTCTCTCCCTCTTCTCACTTCTTCATTCGTGGCTTGTTGCGTGTCTCTCCTTCTCGCTCCTCCACAACCCGCGATTCTTGGAGCATCTTGTCTTTTCTCTTCTTCTTCACTCGCTACCAGTCGGATCTTTTCCCTCTTTTTGGGTGCGCGTGATTCTTGTGTGCCTTGACTTCCGGTGCTTCCTTCTGTCTCTTTGAAAGTTGAGACAGCGAATATTTCGTCACGTGCAATCAGTACAACGTCTTCTTCCACTCAAGCAGTTTGAGACGGTCCAACCCGTAATGCGCCCATCATGTTCGGTCAACTCAAGGGTCTGAGCCGTCGCTACTTGATCCTCTTCATTTTCATCGCCGTCACATGGTTCCTCGTCCACAACTTCCGGCCCATCGAGCGCTATCGCACCGTCAGGATCGGAGTCTACAACTACCTCCCCAGCAGCTATGACTGGAGCAAGACCCAGGTCTTCCACCCTCCGGAGAATGTGACGGCGCCTCCCAATGCCACCGCCAAGATCCTGCCCCGGGTCCAGTTCGACCGCTCTCAGGCCGCCGATGACCACGAGACCCTCTCCAAAAAGGTGGCCATCAGGAAGGCCTTTGTCAAGAGCTGGGACACGTACAAGAAGCATGCCTGGGGATGGGATGAGCTCGCGCCCCTGTCCCTCAAGGGCAAGACCACCTTTTCTGGCTGGGCCGCCCAGATCATTGATGCCCTCGACACCCTCTGGCTTCTCGACATGAAGGAGGAATTCCATGAGGCCGTTCAGGTTGTCGCCATGATCGACTGGGCTCACTGCCATGATGAGTACATCAACCTATTCGAGGTTGCCATCCGTCATCTCGGTGGTCTCCTCTCTGCGTACGAGCTCTCCGACGAGGCCGTCCTGCTTGGAAAGGCCATTGAGCTGGGTGAGATGCTGTACGCCACCTTCGACACACCTAATCGGTTGCCCTCCCACTGGCTCTACTTCAAGGATGCCAAGAAGGGCACCCAAAAGGCCGATGAGAGCATGTCGGGTGCTGCAGGCGGTTCCATGAGTCTCGAGTTTACTCGTTTGACGCAGATCACCGGCAACCCTAAGTACTATGATGCCACCGAACGTATCAAGCAGTTCTTCTACCGAAACCAGAGGAACACCAAGATCCCCGGCCTGTGGCCACATGTCATGAACTACCGGGATGAGAAGGTTGACGAGTCTCGCTTCACCCTGGGAGCTGGCGCAGATTCTCTCTACGAGTACTTGCCCAAGATGCACGCTCTTCTTGGAGGTCTGGACCCTGAGTACGTTCAGATGACGATAAATGCTCTCGACACTGCGACCAAGCATCTGCTCTACCGGCCACGAAACCCCCAGGACCTGAACATTCTGCTGGCAGGTAACGCTGTGGCAGGTGAGAGGGGCGAATCTGAGCTCACCGCTGAGATGCAGCATCTGACATGCTTTGTGGGTGGTACTTATGCCCTTGCTGGCAAGCTCCTCTCCCGCACCGACTTTGTGGACCTTGGTGTGCGCCTGACAAACGGTTGTATCTGGGCATATAATGCCTTTGCTACTGGCATCATGCCCGAGATTGCTCAGCTCGAGCCCTGTGAGACCATTGATGGCAAGTGTCTCTGGGCGGAGAAGCCTGTCGAGAAGAAGGATAAGCTCCCAGAGGGTTTTGTCCGGGTGCGAGACGCGCAATACAGGCTCCGACCTGAAGCCATTGAGAGTGTCTTTTATATGTGGCGCATCACTGGTGATAATGTCTGGCGGGAAGCTGCATGGCGGATGTGGCAGGCGATTACCGATGCCACGGAGACGGCAGACGCTTTCGCTGTGATAAGCGATGTTAACGATAGAAAGTCGGAAAAGCAGGACTCTATGGAGGTGAGTTTTAAGTGATCACTTGGCAAGGAGAATGAAGCTGACTCTTGACAGACATTCTGGTTGTCCGAGACAATCAAGTATTTCTACCTCATCTTTGAGGACTCTGAAGTCCTGAGCCTAGACGAATGGGTCTTCAACACCGAGGCGCACCCCTTCAAGCGCCCCAAGGGCCAGGATCCGTACGAGGTCGAGACCAAGAAGGGCAAGTCGTGGTGGAGTTTTGGCGGATAGACGCGGGTTTCTGGATCTGGGGATTTTTGGGTCTGGTTGAGATTCTGGGATAATGATGGGTAACTAACGTGCGTACGGCAAGAAGAGGCATCTTCTAGGGATAATGAAGGGGTAAAATAATGATTTTGAGTACATGTTTAATCCACAAGACTTGGTGTTCTTGGGTGAGAGACTACCCATGATGATGTCGTACGATGAGTGAGGTCCCCGCGTCAAGGGTCCAAGTCGAGATTCAAGCAAGATACAAACTTCAGTCAAGAAACTCTTCAACGTGCCCATGAAAGTCCAATTTCTCTAGAGAGAGATCTAGAATACAATCCCGTCTGACAACTGATGTCATTGACTCTTACCGTCCCCGTCGTGACCCCCAATGGCTCACCACGCATCCCGCTACAAGCATGACCCCGCCGGACGCATACAACCGTGTGCGTCGCCTTGGATTACATCACCACCAACAAAAAAAGATGCCTTCCCACCACTTACACATTACATTTCCCGCTTCCACCCGACCTTTCCACCTTCTTCCTTTTCTTTTCTCCCCCCGTCGTGATGAGGCATGCCGCTGCGTCCAACTTCCCTCCATAGGCTGCGCCCGTCGCCGCCGTGCTTCGCCGCCACCGCGTCCCGGTGGACCCTCCTCCGGTGTCGGGCCGGATACCAGCTGCAGCAGCAAAGAGGTCGTCATGATGAGGTTGCGCGCAAGAATCATTATGAGCGGCTGAATGTGCGGCACGATGCGACGCCTGCCGAGATTAAAAAGTATGTTTTTATCAAAGACAATAAGAGACTGCTTCTTACAGATAACTCGTCAGGTCCTTCTACTCTCTCTCCAAGACTCACCACCCGGATGCCAATCCTACCGACCCAAACGCCTCGCACACCTTCTCCCTCCTCTCCGAGTCCTATACCATTCTCTCCGATACGACCCGCCGTGCCGCCTACGACCGCGACGTCCTCCGTGTGCATCACGGTCACCATCATGCTCATGGGCATCATAACCCTCGAGCCTCGTACCACTCCACCAACCCGGCCGGTGGCCGCTCACCCTCCGGTCTGAGTCGCCGGAGAGGAACCTTCCGTGGTCCCCCGCCTAGCTTCTACCGCAGCGGAGGGTGGGGGGACCAGGAGGAGAAACGGCGCAAGGCGCATGAGGAGTCGACTAGTTTCGGCGGAGGTGGTGGTGCGCCCCATGAACACGGCGGCGCATCATCCTCAACACAGCATCACCAAAGTCCATGGGGAAACCCCTTCAGTCATCATCAATCTTCTCACGGTGGTATGGGTCCTGGTGATGATCCCTTCGGACACCAGGAAGAGGTGCCGCACTTTGACAAGGCGGGCCACACGCGGACGCACCGACGGGAGGACCAGCGTCGCAAGGAGAGGCAGAGGCGTGCCGTAGGCGATGATGATATCGAGTTTGAGCCGCAGACGAGCATCACGGGCCACTTCTTCATAATCTCTGGTATCCTGGCCGCCACCATACTGGCACCGCTCATCTACATCCAGTTGATGAGCGTGGGGCGGCGGAAAAAGGGCGGGGAATACTAAACCCACAGTTCAAAGAGGTGGGATATCTGTGTTATAAGGAAGGGCATGGTACATAGAGTAACCATGGGACAAGTTGTACATTTGTTGACGGAGTTTAACGGCAGTGGAGAAGTTATTAGAGGGAGCATGACCACTGAGCACAGCAGGCAATGAATGATCCCAGCAGGCGTATGCCGCAATTGAATTGAAAAAAAAGACATTATTCTTCATGTTTTTTTATTTTGAGATAATCTACATCCATGAGACCACCGCAATGCAAGCCTGTAAGATACAATAGCTGTGGAGAGTGGGACAACTCTCGAGAAGATGGATCTAGCGAGTGGGCGGTGCTAGTAGAGTTCAGCGAGCAGGGGGAGTATTTTAACCCTCGAAGGTGAAGCTGGCACCGAGCTGCAGACCTGATTAGTCTTTTGATAAAGCCATATCGCAATATATAGAGTCTCACCTTGTGGGTAGCCTGGTCGAGCTTCTGGGTGTCGAAGGAGCCACCGAGACCCAGGGTGACACCCTCGCGGAGGAGGACGTTGTAGGCAAGGGCAGCAATACCCCGGTCGTTGATCTTGACCTGTGTAGCGATGCGCGTCAGTCCAAATCCTCTCCAACTCGATCAGCCTGCGTATACGAACCTTGGCGAAGGAGACGGGGTCGATGCGGTACTTGCTGGCAACCTCGAGGCCGACAGTGTTGCCGGTCTTGGAGTTCCAGGTAGCCTTGGCACCAGCCTCGACCTGGGAGTTGACCTTGTGGTAGTAAGAGGCAGCAAAGACGCTCAGGTTGTCAGAGGCAGTGATGGCAGCGCTGTACTGGGGAGCAGCATAGCCGACGGCGGCGCTGTAGGCAGTCAGGGCAGCCTTGTTGGCATCGTAGCCAGCGCTGGCACCGGCGAGGAAACCCTCGTGGCCGACAACGGCATCGACGTTAGCAACGGGGCCCTTGAGGAGGTCGAAGAAGGCACGGCCGTGGAAGCCGGGCTGCTTGAAGTGAAGGTTGAACTTAGCGCCCTTGGCAGCAGTAGCAGGGAGGAAGTTAAAGAGACCCTCGAGCTTGAGGCCCTTGGCGAGGGAGTCGGAGACCTCGATCTTGGTGTCGAGGGCGTTGGCAGTGTTCCAGGTCTGGGTGAGGGTCAGGCCTGCGTGCGAGTAGAACATTAGCAGCTGAGCATAGCCGGGTTGGAGCAGCGTCGAGAATCCGATCGGCCAGCCTGTTGCGGGCCCAAGGATTCGCGAGAGGCTGAGGGTGGGAAGATTTGATTTTCTGCGCGGGGGCTTGCGCTTGAATATGGGCGGTGGTGACGGAGACGGGGATGGTGACAAAGAAGACGACGATGAAAGAGATGACGGTGTCGTACCGGTAGGCTTGTCGGTGTATTTTCCCTCAATCTATAAGAGCCCAATGGGCCAGGTCAGTCATCTGTATCCAAAAGACGTGGCATTGGGCGTTGCCGAGGCTGGTAGATCTCGCGGGGGAGCTCGAAAGACGCGAGGCGTAGACGGCTGAGAGAGCCGCGGTTGCCCGAGCACCAGCCTCCGAACCCCCGAGAGAGATGCCATTGAAGTCGGGGTCGCAAAGGTTGTATACTAACAGCAGCAGAGGTGGCCTTCTCGTGGCTGGACTTGCCGGTGACCTTGAAGGCAACGCCGTTGGGGGCGGTATCCTTGAACTCGAAGGTGGTGGCCGAGAGGTGGTAGAAGTCCTTGTTGAGGAGCTACAAAACGGCGCAAAAAAAGAGGCGCAACGGTTAGCAGAGCTTCTCGAGGGGTAAAAAACAAGCTTTGGAGCAATTGACGATCATAGCTATATCCCTCTCTTCCAATCTCGTTCCCGTTCGGCGCATTGCCGGAGAGACAAGAATGGACGAGCTGGAACAAGCTCAAACCAAAACAGAGCAAATAGCAACAACACCGGGGGAGGGGAGACAGAGCAATCATACATCGTTGGCCGGCTTGGCAATGTCGGAGAAGGCAGGGACAGACATGATTGCGGTGGTTTGTCTTTTTTTCAACGGGGAGAGAAGAGCAAGGATGAGATTATGTTCGAGAGAGGATGAAGATGAAGATGGGAGATGGAGGAGGAGGAGAATGAGCAAGCGGATGGGGCCTCACGGGAGATGATGAGAGGAGCCGGGAAGGAAAATGTTTGGGGGGGGAGGAGGGGGGGAAACCCAATTGACACAGGGGTCTGTATGCGCACCGGGCTTTTCGTTGGGGGGCCACGGCATAGGGCCAGCACAGGCTCCACTGTGATGGAAGCTGAGCGCTGGCGGCCCTAGGGGATGAGGGGCCCTGAAGCTGGCTGCCGTGGCCAGGCCCTGTGCGGCGGGATTGGCACCCACCCGAGCCCTGGAAACCTCAGTCGTCCATCCATGGATCGGCTGATGTCGGGCAAGCAACCGCTGGACGAGACGGCGTCTGGGGACCTGGCACCGGGTGTCCATGTCCAGTGTCAGTTTGTCTCGTCACCAGGTGACGAACGAACGAACCCCAGAAGCAACCAGAAGCAGGGGGGCCTGGCCCACGTGGAGAAGCAAAGTTGGACTTGACCAGCAGATGAGCCTAGAATTTCAATCACAAATCTGCGACTGCAGTCTCTTCTCTGTCTCGTCTTCTTCGGCTGTGTTACCGATGCGATTGCCGAATCGGGTCATCCTACCATAAACTTCTTCCCATCACGACTCATCTTTCAGAAAAAGCACGCAGGTCGCAACACCCAACGTAGCATCCTCCACCGTCTTGGGCTCTCGTTCTCTGACATGGACATGAGAAAATCCCAACCTCTATGGGTTGATGGATGCATGAAGCGTTCGGCCGGCTAGTTTGATCTGATCATGCAAAACTGCCCAGCCAAGCAGGAGACGACCAACCAGTTCCAACCACCAGTCCAATCCAGCCCAGCCAGTTCAACTTGCATCAGAACTGAGACTCTTTTCAAATTTCTCTCGCCTTGAGTAGCCGGCGTTTCGTTTCGTAGCTTATGTACCGCATAAGCTCTCAAAATGAGACTAACACCTCATCCTCGTGACACACCAGTCCAGCCAACTCAGAGAATGACTAGCTTCCTTCACAGAAAAGTCCCTCCCTCTCGCCCGCGTCAAGAAGCCATCATCCGTCATGCCATTGATGCAATCCAATTTCGCGCTTGCCCGGGTGCTTCTTAAACATTGACACCTTCTCGTCGCTTCTCGCGCACCCACGAACTGCATCAACGCGCCCACGTCCAGTGACATGGCCAGCCTATTGGCCAGCCGGTGCCAATCATTGCCCTACTACGTAGCCCGCGACCCTTCCTGCATCAAGGAACCGGTCATGACCTCGGGAACAAGACTTCCACTGCTCGATGGTGTCAAATCATGTCAATGCATTCACCGCCATCCATGTCCTCTCACATAAATCACCGTTAAATCTTTTCATCTTTATTCATTTTGATTTTCCATTCTCATGCTCCTCATCCGTCCCTTTTCCAATATTCATAATGCTAAGCAATAACCCAAGACGCCCTTTCTTGGTCCAGGAAAATGGCAACCAGATATGCTTTTAGCTCAGGTCCATGACAGGTACCTGGTATAAAGTAAGATACAATGAATGGGTAAGCAAATTTGTTTGCGTGTTCGATTTGCTATGTCATTAAGCCGCGTTGTCGTACTTGGCGTTGTGGATGGAGATGGCTCTGAACTTGGGCATTAGCATCGACTTTCCTTCCTGGCATCTAGACAAGGATATCACTTACCGGCCACTGGGGTCCGACTGCTTGGACCAAGTGGGAGTCCAGCGCATAACCGTCGATGCGCAGTGGGGAGGGAAGTGCTCGTCGAACATGCATCGGTACCAGTAACTATCCATCAACTGTCAGTCACATCCGTCTCATCGTCTAAAAGGGCAAAACATACGCCTCCTTGGTGTCGGGAATGTCGTCGCCCCATTCAGGCTTGGGGTTCTTCATCATCTCGTCCGTCACGTGGGCCTCAGCGTTGTCCTTGAGCGCATCGATCCAGCCGTATCCGACACCGTCAGAGAACTGCTCCTTCTGTCGCCACAGGATCTTGTCGGGCAGGTAAGGCTCCGCGCCGGGCTCGTCGCTGGTGTCAAAGGCCTTTCGGATGATGTACTTCTCGAGTCTGTCCTTGGTGATCATCTTCTCCTTGGGGTCAATGTTCATCGAAGTCTCGAGGAACTGTCATCTTGTAAGCATGTTTTCAGCATCTCATCGCCGTGTCATCAACTCACCTCCTTGTCGAGGAAAGGCACACGGGCCTCAAGACCCCAGGCGGAAGTCGACTTGTTGGCTCTCAGGCAGTCAGCCAGGTGCAGGTTCTTGACGCGGCGGACAGTCTCCTCGTGGAAGGCCTCCCGGTTGGGGGCGGCGTGGAAGTAAAGGTAACCTCCAAAGATCTCGTCGCTACCCTCACCGCTCAGGACCATCTTGATACCCATGGCCTTGATCTTGCGCGAAAGCAGGTACATAGGAGTAGAGGCTCGGATGGTGGTGACATCGTAGGTCTCGAGGTGGTAGATGACGTCGGAAAGGGCGTTGAGACCATCCTCAACTGTAAAGGTCATGACGTGGTGCTTGGTGCCGAGGAACTTGGCGACCTCGAGAGCAGCCTTGTTATCGGGAGAACCGGGCAGACCGATGGAGAAGGAGTTGAGCTGGGGAAGGTAGGTGAGGGTGTCGATGTGGTCGTCATCGTCGATACCGACGAGACCCTCGCCAGTGTCGGCGTTCTCGGTAGGGAAGACGTTGCCGTTGGCCTCGAGAGCCTGTTTTCGCAGTCTTGTCACCTCACGCTGGGCAATAGCGGCAGTCAAACTGGAGTCGAGACCACCCGAAAGAAGAACACCAAAGGGAACCTCAGCCATGAGGCGCTTTCGGACAGCTTTCTCGAGCGCATGTCGGAGGACCTTGTAGTCCACGGGGGTATCGGGCACCTTGGCGGGGTTCCACCACGAAGGGTTGAAGTAGCGAGTGGTCTCGCCGGTCTTGGAGTCATAGACGTGGCCAGGAGGGAAAGCGACAATCTTGTCGCAAACGGTGTGCAGGCACTTCAACTCGGAGGCGAAGTAGACGGTGCCGGGTTCCTTGGAGGACCAACCCTGGTAGAAGGTGGTGATGCCGATGGGGTCGCGGGCGGCAATGGTGCGATCTTGCTTCTTGTCGTAGAGCACGAAAGAGAACATGCCATCGAGGTGGTTGGGAGCATCGGTGTCGTACTCGGTGTACTAATTGAAGCGCTGTGAGTCCGTCGTTCCTAGCTTGTCTTGAGTCCAGGTTCCTTACCAAGGGGATGATGACCTCGCAGTCCGAAGTGGTCTTGAAGTGGTACTGCTCCTTGAGGTGTCTTCGGATCAGACGATGGTTGTAAATCTCACCGTTGACAGCGAGGATGATGGTATCGTCGGCGTTGGTCAGGGGCTGAGCACCAGACTCTGTACAAGGCGGTTAATCGGGAGGATATTCCGAGATCGCAGGGTGGTTTCACTCACCAACACCGACAATGCTAAGACGCTCATGGCAGAGGACTGAACAGAAGTGTTAGAATTGCACGAATCTGCAGTCTGGAGGCCAATTGACTTACTGGTGTGGTTGGAAATGACACTGCCGCCTGGACATGCGACTTAGTATTTGCACTCGGGCGACGATCCGGACAGCCAATTCACTTACTCCAATCGGGACCACGATGTCGGATCCTGCGCCAAGGAGGTCAGTTCGAAAATCTCTGTCAATTGACTCGGTGGGAGGACACATACTGCTTGGCAAGCTTAAGCGCAGTCGGCTTGAACTTTTGAACGTCGGGATGACTGTAAGCAGACGCTGTGTCAGTCCCGTCATGATCATTTTTTATTTTTCCCTCCCTCCGCGGGGTCATAGCATCAATTGATGGCGGGGTTCCTCCCAATGCCTGTGCCTCGTGTGCCCCTCCAAAAATTCATCATCCAGGCACCGCGCGCGCGCAGAGGATCCATGTTCGCAGCAAAAAGAGGCGCAGGGGGGAGAAGCTTGAGAGCATACCGATGACAGGCGAAGATGCCACACATGATTACGGTTGCGCACGACGAGTGTGAACGGTTGGAGACGAGGTGTGACAGAGATACAGAGGAGGGAAGGGGATGGGAACGAAGATGGGGATGGGATGGAAAGATTAATATTTAGTACCTGCCTCGCTCGCCCAGCCCAAGTCCGTCCGAGAGGGCGCGGGCAGGGAAGGGAGGAGTCATAGCAAAAACTCCACCCTCCTTCCGCCGGTAAAGGCAGAGGGAAAAAAAACAAGCGCAAGGCTACCGACGGTAATGGTCGAATCCAACGTCAAAAGGTTATCCACACGCGATACATCTACTCCGCCGCCTCAATGGGTCTCACCCGCGGGCTGAGAGCTGCTTGGATGAGCTTCTCTCTGGCCTCTCCACTGTTGATAGGAGCATGATTAGCCGGTAGGTCACATCACCCTTGGCTACTTGTCTTGTTTTCTGTCAACCTGTATGTCTGTCTAAGGTCTGCCCGTCACCTGCAGACGGGATAAAAAGGCCGCTAGGATCTGGATGGATTCTCATTGCCGGCGAGGGTCTCTATCAAAGGTCGGAGAGTGACTTGGATGGCCGACTTCGGATGGTAATTCGGCCATGTTCATTGGCGGCCGAATAATCCAACGAGAACCCCTTGATTGTTCGATAAGGAAATGGCACGGCCATGTCCATGTGCCTGGCCTGGTCTGGCCTGGTTCCTTTGCGTCACAACGTGACCAGCCATGGATGGGGGTCAAGCGAATGTAGGAACAAGGCGCTCATGGAGGGGCAATACCAAGAACCAATGGCGCGGTGCTCACACCACGTTCCGGTCGACAACTCAAATTCTTGTTGCACACAATATTTCTCATCTGCATTTCCTTGACTAAATACAGCAGCAAGATAACACCCATCAGCCCGTGGCTTCTTCGGCTGTTGGACGCCACCTTCGGTTGTATCGCCATTCGGGACATCCACCATGATAAAAAATGGTGGGGCAGATCCCAGACATCCATCCATTGCTGGTGGGCGTGGTCCGAAGACGCAGCCGCAATGATTCACGCCGACGTGGATCTCGATCGCTTCAACCGACAACGGCTGTTGACATACAACGACAACTCATCAAAGAAGAATAAAACACTTGCTTGAGATTCCAAGGAAAACGCTCTCTTCGTGACTCGACCGACCACATCCCCTCATGGGCTGCGAGGTCCGAAACTACCCAGCCCACTGCTCATTGTCAACACGAGCCATATCGTGCTGTGGTCTTCAACCACAGGCTCCCAAGAATATCCGCCTTGGTATTTCCCCAAACGCCGTAGCCTGAGATCCCTTACAAATAAAAAGTGTCTAAAACGCCTCTTCAACCAGCGCCTCTCGATCGTCCATCAGGGAGTGGGGTTGTCGCGGACCAGACGGCGAACCCGCTTCTCGTACTCGGCGCGATCCTTCTTAAATAGGTTGTACGCCTCTGCTTGGGCAGGAGACTCGGGGTTCGGGTCGTTCAAGAGGTCCTGGATGCCCAGCAGGATCTGCTTAACGGTGATAGCGGGCTTCCAGGCCTCCTCCTCGTTGAGGATGGACAGGCAGACGGTGCCTGAAGGGTACACGTTGGGGTGGAACAACGGAGGGACGAATTTGCCTGCGAGCGTTTAGTCAAGGCCTACACTGCGTTGATCGTTTGTTACTTACACTTGGGTGGCTTTGTGGGATACTCTGTCGCACAAAGGCGAGTTAGCACGGGTCACGAGAGCAAGTCTCTAGTCCAGGAACATATTTGCACTCACCGTCAGGAAAAGCGATGGTCAGCTTAAAGAGTCCGCCAGCCCAGATGGTGTTGTCCTTTCCGGGAATGCCGCACTCCCAGTTCTTGACATCGAGGATACCCTCCTTGGTTCGTTGGGGCTTGGCATAGAACCCAAAGGGATGGTCTCGCCGCCACTGCTTTCTATCCAAGTCTCAGCATCGTCCTCCGACTCGCGAATATCATGCAGAGCCTCACCTCTCTTCTTGTAATCGGTTCTGACACAGAGCCATGGTTTCGTTCTCGACGTCGGTCGGTGCGCGGATGGATGAGGGGTGACTGCGGGTGAAAGAAAGGCGGGCCCAAGAGTCGCGGCGACAGCTTGCACGAGGCCTCGTTGATGCGTCAAGGTCGTTAACGCCGATGGAAAAAAGATCCGAGAGTTGTGGAGATGGTTCAGCCTCTGTAGGTCGAGGTTGCAGGGAGTAAGTTGTTGCACCAGAAAAAGAGGTGACGGGACGAGATGAATGGATCAGATCGAGGCTGGAGCCTGACGGTGTTTGCGCATCCAATGCAATTCACGAAGCGATGGACGTCGGTGGATGATTCGATGAATGGATGCACCGCCCGAAAGTCGCAGCGCAGCCATGAATCGGGTTGGTCCAAATGTGGCGCCAGCACTGAGAGCACGTCCCCACGGAGCCGAGAAACCCCGCTGTGCGTAGGGGCCACCCGCCATTTGTAGTGAAGAGACAGCGCTGTTCTTTGGCGGGGTGACCGCCAACCCGTCAGTGAGGGGCTTCACCAAGCTACCTACCTAGGTAGGCACGGTAGCGCGGCCATCGTCGCCTCGGCTCAGGTCACTGGTTGGAGTCCATGAGCTTCCATCAAGACCGTACCTGCCTTGGTGTGGATGAAATTACTACCCAACTCTCGCAACGACGAGCCTCATCTATCCACGACATCTATTGCGACTTTCGCATCTCATCTATTTCATCTCATTTAACGACATCGAGACTTGCGTCATCTTCGATCTCATATCTACTGGCACGGCCTGTCGCATGTGGGGTTTGTGAGCTTGTGAAGAGTTGTCTCAGAGAAAGAGGAGCCGGAGACCATCATGGACGCAACCAAAGACACAGAAACTGCCAAGCAGGAGGAGGTCAAGCAAGAGCTCACGGAGGCTGTCAAGGAGGAAGTGAGGGATGAGGTGAAAGCGGAGGAGAAGGCCGATGTCAAGGCCGAGACTGTCGCTCCCGCAGTCGCTGCCTCTTCATCTGATACACCAGTGCCCGACGCTCCGGTTGCCGATCCTCCAGTTCCTACTCCCTCAAGCATCACTCCTGTGCCAGCGGCAGAGCCATCCACAGCTCCTCCTCCAGAGACAAAGCCCTCAGAGGCCGCCGTTGCTGTCACTGCCGCCGCGGCGGTGACGGCTGCGGTTGTGACAGAGGCCGTTGTAGAGAAGGCTTCCGCTGAGAAGACTACTACTGAAGAGACCACCGCTCCTCTAGAGCCACCAGTTGAAACAGAAAAAGTCGTTGAGCAGCCTACCGAAAAGCCTGTTGAGAAGGCCGTCGAAGAGCCTACCGAGGAGCCTGCTGAGAAGCCTGCTGAGCAACCTACCGAAAAGGCTATTGAAGAACCCGCTGAGAAGGTTCCTGGGCAGTCTATCGATAAGCCTGTTGAACAGGCTGCCGATAAACCTATTGAGCAGGCCGCTGAGAAGCCTACTGAGAAGCCTGTTGAGAAGCCTGTTGAGAAGGTTGTCGAGCAGCCCGTTGAGAAACCTATCGAGGTACCTGCTGAGAAAGTCGCTGCTCCTCCTGCACCGTCGGCTGTCGAGGAATTTGAAGATGTCCCAGACCCCGATGAGGACGATCTGGATGACCTAGATGGTATGTTCATCCTTGCGAGATTCAAAACCACCGTACTTTTTTTACTGACCCCCTCACTAGACATGCTGGATGACTTCTCCGCTGTCCAGATAGAGTCAAAAAAGCCCGCCGCACCTACTGGTCCCAGTTCAACCCAGGCTGCCAAGGAGCCCGCTTCTTCCAGCAAGCAGCCAGAAGCTGATGATGCCTTCTCAGAAGAGGAGTTTGCCAAGCAGCTTCAAGCTGGGATGGCAGACTTGCTAGGCGAGCTCGAAAAATCTGTAAGATACTCTTACACTACATGTATTGTGGACAGGTGCTAAAAATGACTAGCCGGATATGCAGGCACAGTTTGAGGACATCTTCAAGCACATCGCGGCCGCAGAAGGGGCTGGTGACGCTCCTCCTCCTCCTCCCGCGGCGGCGGCGGCCTCGGCTGGCCCTGCGCCTAGTGCACCGGCAGAGGATGCTTCCTTTCAGGAGACGATCCGACGAACTATGGAGCGTATGCAGGCATCGGGTGACCAGGCCACGGCCGCTGCCGCCGAGGGCCCTGCGGATGATTTCATGTCTGAGATGCTGAAGCAATTGTCATCGGGCGACCTCGGCGGCCTCGGCGGTGATGGCAGTGAGGAAGAGTTCTCCAAGATGCTCATGGGCATGATGGAACAACTCACCAACAAGGAGATTCTGTACGAGCCCATGAAGGAGCTTGACGACAAGTTCCCCGAGTGGCTCGCCAAGAACCGCAACTCGACACCAAAGGAGGACCTGAAGCGTTATGAGGAGCAGCAGTCCGTCGTGCGCGAGATTGTGGCCAAGTTTGAGGAGAAGACGTACTCGGACTCGAACGCCGCGGATCGCGAGTTTATTGTGGACAAGATGCAAAAGGTATGTGTATTCTCTTATCTCTTCTTTGTGACTCTAGTCACTAACTGCCTACCCAGATGCAAGCAGCGGGATCGCCTCCCTCTGACCTGGTTGGAGACATGGCATCCGCGCAGGAAGCTCTCAACCCCTCGGATGAAGCATGTAATCCCCAGTAGATACCGAACCTGGATATTCACTCCAAGTCATATATATACCCTTTCCCGAACAGTAGCTGTACACGCACAATGCTATGTCACTGGTATCGCCCAAACGCCTTGCCAAGGTAGTCCGTATAGCCCCAACTCCAAAATGAAAAGCAATTACAACCCTCATAAAACAGACCAAGATTATCGTTCACTGCATCTCAGTATCCCCAGATTCGTCTATCGTGTAGAGTGGCCTAGACTTGGTGCTTGGTTGTGACTGTTCTTGAGCAATGAGCTCAGCAAAGATGTCGTCATAATCCTCGTCGGAGAGTGCTGGTGAAGGTGGCCGTTGCGACGATGTTGATGTTTGATCTTGGTATGATGCAAGCATGGCCTCCAACTGGTCGTCCTCGTCCATCATCATGTCATCGTCCTCTGGGATTTGAGTTTCTTCTTGCTGGAACGCCATGGCGTCTTCAATGTCCGCGTCGGTAAACTCGGGAGCGTCACGGGCCAGTTGTCCCCGGTCTTCGAGATAGTTTGTCTTTAGGAACTGCAACATGTTAGCAAGTGTCGCGTGTATCACGTCAGAAGAAGGATCATACCTGTCCCTCGATGTCCCTTCTCTGCCAGGCCTTGTCCTCACTCTTCTGGCGCACATTGTTGAGAAACAAGCGTCGCCTGCCTTCTTGCACATCCTCCCGCTTTCGCACAACGGGGTTCGGCCGCGTGGGACGCGATGCGTACTTGAACTTGATTGGCTGAATGGGTGATGACTGGATCTGTCGCTGGGGGTGCGAGTTTCTGTCAATGGGAGACAGTGGCGATGACGCGCGAATGGGGGAGGAAGACAGCGGCGAGGGGACGCTGGGGCGATGGTCCCAGGAACCGGAGAAGATGGGAGTAGGAGCAAAAGACAGCATGTTGTCGGCTGTTTGGTTCTTGTTTCTCCGTTGCATAGAATTCAAGAATCCGATGTGCTGAGGGAAGTAGAAGTAGATGGATGATAGAGAGTAGGATAGGTCGTGTAAAGAGGCGTCCAGCTCCTGAAGTGAAGTACTCAACGCGGTCGACGCGAATCACGCCGTCACGTGACAGAGCGCGAACCCTGGAGGCGTGTTGATTAGAGTGGGGTCTTTCCCCCTCCGCCCATCGGACTCCGTAATGTACAATGTACCCACCCGAGTCGCACCCGGCCCCAGCCGAATTGGCCGCCCCTCGACTGGCTGGCCTGAACTGGGCAGACGGAGGTGAATCGGTGAATCGGCACACCGAGCAAAAAACTTGGGGGTGGTGACCTTGACGACATGACCTGAGGCAAATTGTACCAATTCTTTCGAATTACTGCTGTTTTATTTCTGGCTGGCTATTTCATGTTGGCTGTCGACTTAGAATGAGGACCCTCGCCCTGCCGCTACCTTGTCCACTTTGCTCAGTGCCAGCGCTCCCATGAAGGCCTTTTCCATCTCAACCCTTGCGACCCGTGTCGCCGCTCGACCATGGACCTGCTCGACCTGCCGAAGCCAATTGGTCCGCAGTAAGACATTCCAGAACGTCAGAGCAAGGGGCTTCGCCTCGGGGAAGACCTCACGAGGTTCCAATGGCCGGAGAACAGGCCCCAACCGTGCTGTTCTGTATGCCTCGGCTGGCGCTGCGACTGTGGGCGCAACCACCCTCGCCTTTACCGACGATATCAAGAACAGCTACGAGGCTGCGGAGCGGACAGGCAGAGTCGCAGTTGCGCTCGCCGTGTGTATCAATGAGTAAACGACTATCTGACTCTCTGGCAAAAGGCTTGAGGCTAATTGAGGTTTTTCAGTTACCGAACGACGTTGAATGCTAGAGAGACGACCGTAGACGCGCAAGAGCAAGATAACCTGCTAAACGCCTGCCATAAACGATGCGCCGAACGAACTCTTGTTGTACTAGAAAAGAATGGCGGAATCTTTATCAAACTCGGACAGCACCTGGTACGAACGACTTGACGATTCTAAGTAAAAAGCCGCGCTAATCAACACCATGTACAGAGCGCCATGAATTATCTCCTACCCCCCGAGTGGACCACCACATTCATACCCCTACAGGATAAATGCCCTGTTTCGTCGTTTGATTTGGTTGAGGAAATGTTTCGCAAGGATACGGGAGAGGAACTCTGGGACTACTTTTCCGAATTCGCTTCCGAGCCCATCGGCGCTGCCTCTCTTGCCCAGGTACATCTCGCAACGATAAAGGACTCGGGTCGAAAGGTGGCCGTCAAGGTTCAGCATCCGGAGCTAGAAGCCTGGGCTCCCCTAGATCTCGCTCTCACCAGGTACACCTTTTCGACCCTGAAGCGGTTCTTCCCCGAGTACGACCTCGAATGGCTGTCTTCCGAGATGGACGTTTCTCTCCCCAAGGAGCTGGACTTTCAAGAGGAGGCCAACAATGCCCGACGGATGAAGGAGCACTTTGCAAAGATTCCTCATTTGCCGCTAGTTATCCCAGAGGTGATATGGGCCAAGAAGCGAATCCTGGTCATGGCCTGCGAGTCTGGACGACGTCTTGACGACCTGGAGTTTCTGGACAGCAACGGCATTGACCGCGATGAGGTGTCGGCTACACTAGCTCGCATCTTCAATGAGATGATCTTTGGCAATGGCGCACCTCTGCATTGCGATCCTCACGGCGGCAACATTGCCATCCGCAAGAACACTTCACGTCGATCTCTCGGACGGGGTCCCAATTTTGATATAATCCTATACGACCACGGTCTTTACCGTGATATTGAGCTTCCCCTGCGGAGGTCATACGCCAAGATGTGGCTCGCGGTCATTGATGGTGACATAGACCGCATGAAGAAGTACGCTCACGAGGTGGCCGGCATTGAGGACAAGGACTTTCCCCTATTTGCGTCCGCCATCACTGGCCGTGATTACAGCATCGTCAGCAAGTCCGGTTCTATTCTTCAGACTCGCACACCCGATGAGGAAAAGACTATGACCGGTGCTCTTCAGGAGGGTCTGATCGTGGACCTCGTCCAGCTCCTCAGCCGAGTCCCGCGCATCATCCTTTTAATCCTCAAGACAAACGACCTCACTCGCAGTCTGGACGAGAACCTCCAGACGAGACAGGGTCCCATCCGTTCCTTCATGATCCTCGCTAGGTACTGCACCCGCACCGTCTTCCACGAACAACTCGACGAGATCCACCGAAACGGCTCCTACCTCTGGCCCCTCAACGCCATACGGGTGTTTGCCGCCTGGGTGGGCTTCATGCGTGTAGAGGTCAAGCTGGAGGCGTTTGAGCTGTGGTTGTTTGCGAAGAGGATGCTGGGCCTGCGGAGCGTCGAGTTTTCGGGGGCGGCGTTGTAAAGAGGGAAAGGGAAATACAAGAAAAACTTAGACGATATATCAGTTATAGAACTGCACATATAATTAGCTGTTTCAAGCAATAGAGACGAGCTCTTGAATGATGGCATTTGTTGGTCATGTTTATAGTGTTTATCTCGGGTGTGTTTGTTGTCAGTACTATACGTGTAGAAAAGGACTTTGGGAACAAGAAAGATTAACGCCACAACCAAATAGATATGTGTATAAAGGTGTTCCATTGATACAACCGAAATGGAGAATGTGTCGTTCAGCTCCAGGCATCACCCGCGCTAATGAAGCCAAGTCTAACCGTGAATTATTGCGGTGTAATTACACACCATATATAACAGCGGCTTCACCCCTGCAGAACAGACGGTAACTTGATCATTTCCCCTCAAGATAACTGTAATTGACAAGCACAATATGGTTCTTCTTTCTCTGCCTCAGGAGCTATTGCTCAAAGTCGTCAAGGAGCTCCATCTCGCAGATGTCGAGACCTTGGCTCAGACCTTCAACAGACGCATCCACGCTACATGCATGCCCTTTCTAACCAAGCGCATAGCCGCTCGCAAGCACTCCAACCGTATGGTAGAGTGCTTCGGCACTCATGAGACTGGCGGCCATCTCGACAAGATCAGTGGGGATGTAGCAGAACAGCTGGGCTTTGACGGTGTCGATGAGATATCGATCCCCGAAGGGCCGACCAGCGTGGAATACCTGGACCTCAATGGGGACTTGTCATGGATGGTGCCACTCGACCAGCACACGGCGGAGAGCATGGAGGGATATCACCAGGGTCCTGCTGCTGACGACAAGCTCATCGACAAGCTCATCGCTGACGCTAAGAAACTCGGTATAGAACTACCGCCTGGGTTTGTTACCTTTATGCGCAGCGAAGAGTTACAATACCGGATCCCCTCTGCCCAAGCTGCATATTTCACCCTCGCGGAGGACGGTTTCCGCAAGTGTCCCGAAAAGCTAGACAACGGTCTAGGAGGCTACATCATCCGATTCTTTGTCGACCAGCAGTGGTGCTGGGTCTGGAACCTGTACATATACCCCGGTGGTAGCGCCGTGCTGGGCAGCTCTGGGGATCTCAACTGCGATCCCAAAGAGGCGGCCGACCAGCTCCTGGAGGAGGGTAGGGCGACGCAAGAAGAGATTGACAAGGCTCGAGAGATGGGGTTTCCTCTCACGTATGCGACCGAGGACGATCTCGTCTTGCATAGTCTTGGGTTTGAAGAGTTTCTGGCGACGACGTACTATGAGGAGTTGATGTTTTTTGTCATGCATGAGGAAACAAAGGTTTCAAAGGGTCTGAAGGATTATATTGATCACAACTATAGGAAGAAGGGGGGGCAAGCCAAAGAGGAGAAGCCAGTTCAAGAGGAGCAAGTTGAAGGAACCAGCTAGAGTCCGAGTTCCTATGCTCTTCTCGCAAATGGCATTGTATTGTCTTCCTAACTTGACCTGCACACCAGTTCCCCTGACTTGATCAAACTAACAGTCCAAGCAGTGGCATCTTTCTAGCCAGGCAAAAAGGTGTACCGGGAATTCGTTCATATAAGCACCATCACGAACAACCCCAGGGTAGCGATTTCTTCGAGAGATGGGGACCCAAACGGCAAAAAAAATGTGGTTCCGCCCGGGATCGAACCGGGGACCTTCTCGGTGTTAACGAGATGCCATAACCAACTAGACCACGGAACCGTGTCTTGTTGTTGAGGAGCGACTTGGAATTGGAGGCTATTCACCAGAGGGAAGCCGTTATTGTGAGACCCACTTCACAACGGGGCATCAAAACTAGTCGATCCACAACCCTCCTCCTCTCACCATCTCCATTCTCTCGCCCATCACGCCGGCACATCTTCTGCATGTGCTTCTCCCCATCCATCAAGCAGAGGTTCCGTGGTCTAGTTGGTTATGGCATCTCGTTAACACCGAGAAGGTCCCCGGTTCGATCCCGGGCGGAACCACTCTTTTTGCACTCCTCTACCACAACTATCACCAAAACCCCCAACTCACCCACAACCCCACGCTTCTCTTTTTTTTTCACCTCCTCCACTCCAACTCGACGGACTCTTCAGCAGCATACGCACCTTCTGACGTCATCAAGCAAACAGGTTCCGTGGTCTAGTTGGTTATGGCATCTCGTTAACACCGAGAAGGTCCCCGGTTCAATCCCGGGCGGAACCATCCTTTTTTGCCCTCCTGGCCCATAACTCACACACAAACGCCTCGTGGACTTCTTGAGTGCCTCTCTTTGCTTGTCGAGAGGTGGTTGAGGGACTGGTGGCTTGGTGGTGGTTGAGTCTTTTTTGGAACTCGAGACCAGGGTTGTGGGTCTCACGATTCCTCGGAACTACCACCAACTTCACAAAGTCTTTGACAACTCCATTTCAGAGTGGATAACTCGTGTCTGGGAATGAAGTGTGCTTGAATATGAGAATTTTCAAATAGAGACTATCTGCATCTAAATGTGTTTGTCAGTGGTTATTCTTTGGCTCGGGACTTTGCTGTCAACATCTATTGGAATATGCCACTCAGGGAAGTTGGCTGCACTCATGTCACATGCTGTCAAGTATCCAATATAGTCGTCACAAGTTGAATTATGCACATCAGTTTGAATACTAGTTTGTTACATCAACAAATCTCTTCGTTATCAGGTACAATGCCATGTCATGATGCTTCATGCGCTGTACAACCCCAACTCCGTGCCAGGATATCTACATAGGTTAGTCTCTAAACAGTCATTCCCTTGCCTTGCCCTTGTGTTTGATACACCAAACTCCGTTTCATCCAATGCCATATTACTCAAAAGTTCCCCTACCCAGTAGACCGCCCACAACGCCAATTCTCCTCTCGGCACCCTTGACCTTTCGTTCCTCTCTCCTCCGCTCACTCTCCTCCAGCTTCGCCCTCCTCTCACTGTCACGCGCAAAAGCGTGCACACCACTCTTCTTGGTGGCACCCTTCTTGATCTTGGCTTCTTCTCCAAATCCGCTTGTTGGTGTAGAAGTTCCAGAGCTTGTTGTGGAAGTTGAGCCTGAGACGAGCGAGTTGGTTGTCGCACGGCGAAGCAGGGCAGGCACCTTGAATGAAGATGTCGAGGACGACGCAAATGCCATACGCCCAGTGCTGACAGACGAGGAGTTGTTGCGCTTGAGACTAATCCTGTCAACGACGGCGACGCGGCCGCGACGGGGGTTGGGTCCATCATTCTCCTTTTCACTATGACCATGAGGAGCAGCTTCTTCTTCACCCTCACTGTCCGACCCAGCCTCAGTTGCAGGAATGACTGACCCGTGAGGCTCCTCAAGAAGGTTGGAAAGAGTCTCGCGGACTTCGCCAATGTTGGAAGGCTTCTTGCCGTCCTTTGTTCTTCGCATATGGGCAGGGGGTCGGTTGTCCGCAGAGCCAAGTGTCTTTCGTGGCTGACTATCAGGGACAGTGTTGGATGTGTTGCTGTCTTCCTCCTGAGACTGAGACTGTTGCGATGACTCGTTTGGTTCCTCCGGTGCATCCAAAAAGTCCATCTCATCGTCACTGCCCCGATCTTCAATTGTTCGTAGGAACGCTTGGTTACCAGGGTTCTCGGCAATCTTCTTGACACGCTCATCGGCAAACAGTGCCTTCTGCATCTTTGCAAACTGACGACGCTTCATGCGCCTGCGTGCCTCGCCATCGTCGTCCGAATCATCAAGATCATAACCCGCACCACGCTTGCGGCGGAGCATACCAGTCGTGATGTCCTTGAAAAGCTTTTCAACTTGCTTCTCATCCTCTGCACGCTCGCGATCACTATGAAATGTTAGAATATGCTTCAACAGTAGAGTCAGATCACACTTACGCATAGAAAGCGGCAAGCTTAGCCTCGTCGACATCGTTTCCGGCCGCATCGTCGATAATCTCCTTGAGCGAGGCGACAGACTCGTTGTCACTGTCCTCACCGTCCGCACCACCGAGACCAGCGTACTCATCCTCAGATTCCTCAGCCTGCTCCTGAACCATTTCCTTGGCCTTGCTCTTCTTGTGGTCGAATGCCTCTTGGGCCTTGCGCTTCTTTTCCTTCTCCGCGCCCTCCTTGAGCTTGCTGAAGGCGGTGTTGGTTTTCTCAGCAACTGTGGGCTCCGGTGTTTCTTCGATGCGAAGAGGGGTCTCGGTCCTGCGACGAAGACGTCCGCGGCGAACTAGAGGCGAGTCTGGGCCAGCCTCCTCAGTATCAGCCATCACAGTACCGACAGTCGAGACAGGGACTTCAATAAATCTGTCCTTCAAGGGTGTGTGGTCCTGAAGACCACCATCCTGGGATAGCTCGATCATCTCAGAAAGCTGTGTGCTCTCCTCTCGTAGCAAGCTGTCGAGGCCACGCATCTGAGATTGAGAAAAGTTGAGTTTAACGCCCTGTGTTGTCTTTTGAGTGTCGTCCTTTTGGCTATCCATGATCATGTCTTCCATCGGCTCATCCATGGTGGCCGAGAAGTTGGAATCCGGGAAGTGGTCGAAGTCAGGCATCATGGATTGAGTTGGGCCGTTAGCAGAGTCCAGCTGACTATCGTCCATAGTGCCAGCAAAGATCTGGGTCAAGCCAAGACCAGCAGGTCCCTGAACGGGTAGGCCAGGGATAAAGGTCTTCTTGGCTGATCGGAGCACTGATGTGGGAGCGGCAGGGGACTGCGTGTTGGGAACAGTGGGTGATGTATGCACAGCGGTCTTCACGGCCTTGGGTGTCGACTTGACAATGTCTTCGTCCTCGTCGTCGGAGATAATGGCGATGGGTTTCCGTGTTCGTCGTTTGTGCAGGACTGGTAGGTCGTCTGCATCTTCATGAACGTCCTGGCTGACGAGAGGGGTCGAGTCCTCAGCATCGTCAGCAGATGCTTCCGACTCTGCGTCCTCTGCCTCAGCCTCAAGTAGAGGGTTGCTGTCTGCCTCTTCATCAGACTCTTCGTCCTCCTCCTCAGATCCAGACAACTCAGCAGCTGACGCCTCTGCATCGGCTTCATTACCAGACGCCTGGTATTCCTCATCGTCGCTATCATCCCAGGCGAGGGGATCAACCTCTCCATTCTCCTTCCTTTCCTTCTTTGCAGCAGCCCGCTCTTCCTGCATAATCTTCTGTGCCTCCTCTCGTGCCTTGGCGACAATGTCATCAACCTCCTGCATCTGGCGCTCGCGCTCCTCTGCAGTCTGGATAACGACACCCTGGGCCTTGAGCATCTCAATTCTTCGTTCACGCTCCACCTTGGCTTGCTGACGGGCCTTCTGCTGAAGGTAGGACTGAAGTTCGCCTGCGGTCATGCCGTGATCATCTCGTCGCCTTGTCTCCTTGCCAGGGGACTTGAGTTGGGCAAGAGCTTTCAAGGTGTGGATAGAGTTGTGCTCTTGGGCCTTCTTGGAGGGAACACTGTCGAAAACAGCCCTGACCCGGTCCTGAACAGTTGTGGTGATCTCAAGTTCGTCATCCGAGTCCAACATGGTGACGTTGACTCTGGCAGGAGGAAGCTTGACGCGAACCTGGCGACGGGGCTTTTTGGCGGGTTGCTGGCGATCAGGGATATCGATGGCTTTCCCCTTGCCCTTGTCCAACTTGAGCTTGGTAGAGTCTGCCAGGCTGTCGACGCTTGGCAGCTCCATGTCCTTGTCGGCCCTCTCAGCTACAGGCTCCGCGGGTTGCTTGGCCGTTGGTGGTGAGCTGGGTGGAGTTTCCGCCGCATCCTGCATTTCGACGTCGCTATGAGGTGTGGCGCCCCTGCTCGAGCTGACAACCTTGGGTTCAGGCTCGCCAGCAGGACGATAGTTGAAGCGCTCGAACAGGCTGTTCTTGGTGATCTTCTTCCGCGTCTTGGCCTCGTGTGTGAGCTGCATGTTTCTCGCCATCCTCTGAGTTTCCCGGTTCATCTCCTCGATGGCCTTCTTGCTTGCCTTCCTGATCTTGGGTCGGTCGGTTTGCGTGAGCCGGCGGCCACCCTCATCATCAGTGATGCCGGAGTCGTTGTCGTCCGAAGCCATTTGCTCCAGCTCCTGGGCAAGCTCTTCTTGCCGGGCAAGTCGCTCGGCCTTCCGTGCTTCCTCGGCAGCCTCTTGGGCGCGCCTCTCTCGCGCCTTGCGCTCGGCGAGTGCCATGAGACGTTCCTTAGAGGGCAAGTTGCCTTCAGAGTCGGAGTCGGCTTGGGCTGATTTGGACGGCGAGGGGCGGGCGGGTGATGATACGAAAAGTGCCGGGCTGGGTTCTCTGGATGCTCGAGTTGAGCCATTGGCAGCTGGTGACTGTGGTGCCCGTCGGAATAATCTTCGGGGAGCAACCGGGAGGTCGTCGTCTTCCGACTGTGCATCGGGCATATCGACATTTTTCTCTTTCTGTGCCTCCTTCTCGAGCTCAAACATCTTCCTCACGCGGTCTCGAGCTGTTGTTTCCTTGCTGTTGGTTGTGGCCTCCGTTGCCTGTGGTGCCTTGGTAACGGCCTGCATCCTTGACGCGAGCCTACCGCGAGGTCTAATCTCTTCCTCGGACTCATCATCAGATGCATCCTCATTTTGTGTAGATAATTGTGTGAGGTCGATGTCTCGTTTCCGCTGTGGCGACCTGGTCTTTGTGGTTTCTTGTGAAGGAGAGGCTTCGTCGTCGCTGCTCCCAGCCTCTAGGAGGGCTTTGAGTTGAGCTCGCGGTGATAGTTGCGGTTGCTCTGGAGACCCAACTGACGACGCAGGGGACGAAGATCGAGGGGTGGTAGCCATGGTGAATGGCTGTGATGTTGGATTAAAAATCGTATGAGACAGCCAGCATGTAAATGAAAACAAATATATCGCTTAATCGGTCAAGTTTTGGAGGGGTGAGTGATGTTGATGAATTGATGAATGAGAGAGTGTGGATGTGGATGGTGGGTGTGGAGGAATTGGGAGGTGGCTCTCAAAAGGTGTCAGTGCGTGGTGGGGAGCTTTACGCGACGCGTAGTTTAAGAGGCGTTGGCGATACGCGACGCATCACAACCGCGTAAAGGACATCGCGAGCCACCACAGCCACATAAAAACCCCTGTCCTGGGGCTGTCACGATGGTTGCTCCGTGCACGCATTCGTCGATTGCCGCGGTTCAGAGCATTTAACACTTTGAACAAGGCACGGGCCTAACTTAGACATGGGTATCAAGCGTTGTCATGGCATCAAGGGACTTGGCATGAGAAGAACGGACATGTTCAATTTAGGAGCCTATGAATATGTAGTTGATACTTGTCTCTCCTCCTTTTTTTTGGTTCTTTTATGTTGTCTCTTTCAGTAATGACTGTCCTATATCCTCCTCTTTCATTCTGTCTAAAAGCAATTGAATCAATTGAGCATGCAATGCTTAGAAGAGCTTGTGCTCAAGGGTCATGTCAGACTCGGGCTCAAGACCGACACAGGCGCGGAAGATGTTGGTCAAAGCCGCGCGCTGCTTGGCAAGAGCGTTGACAACCGGGGTGCCGGGAGGAGTCAGAGGAGCCTTGAGCATGTAGCTGAGCACACTCAGGACGCTGTGGAAGCTCTTGTACTCAGTGGTGGCGGCTCCGTCGGTGGAGGCAGACTTCCACTGGATACGAGACATCATCTCAGCGATGATGACCAGGTCAATGATCAGGGGAGAAGCAAGGAGAGAGTCCTCGCAGATGTTGAACATCCTATTTCCTGTTAGCGACGTTCACATCAGAGCACAATTATCAACTCACGAAATGGTCTGGTGGCCACCCATGAAAATCTCAGCGTAGTACTCATCGAGTGCACGCTTGTTGTCGGCAACCGCGGGCATGTACTTGATCACAACGCAGTGGTCGGGATGCTCACCCTTCTTGTACAGCACGTGGTTAGCCTCGACCATGTCGTCGACGACATTGGACTTGGAAATCTCCTTGGAGCGGAACTGCTTCTGGGAGCTCAGGTTCTTGCCATCATTATTGCCAAGATGGTTGTAACTGGCAATAGAGGTCAACTTGATACCGGCGTTGATCAGGAAGTCAACAAGGGCCGACTTCATCTTGGTCTGGCCAGACTTGAAGTCATCACCACCAATGAAGGCGTTGTGCTTCTCGGCAAGCTCAATGGCACCAGGGACAAAGGTGTTCTGGGGAGAACCGTTGATGAAGGGGGCGCCCTCGAGGATACAGGCGACAGCAAAGACGGTCGAGGGAGCAACCTCCTCGTGACCCTGCTCAATAGCCTTGAGAAGGTTGTCGGCCGTGTCGTTGACACCCTGGATGAGGTCGGCATATCGCTCAGTGTTGGCAGTCCACATGACAATGACCTTGTCAAGGCCGTTCTTGGCCTTGAAGTCACGGATGTCCTTGCGGAGCTGCTCAACGTGAGCCATGGAAGCCTTGGTACCCTCGAGGACGTTGTCGGCGCGATCCTCCTGGTTGGCAGCAATGAAGTCAGGGTAGTAGATGGAGGGAAGAGGAACCATCTCGGTCATCTCCTTCTTAACCTGGGCCTTGAGGGTAGGCTCAAGGACCTGAGCGCGGTCCATGGCCTGAGCCAGGTTCATCTTGCTAATGTCCCAACCGCCGATGACGAGGTCATTGGGGTGAACCATGGGCAAGATGTTGTGGAAGGGGATGTTGACTTCCTGGTGGGTCTTGGCATCAGTGCCGAGCTTGAGGGTCGAGCTCATGACAACGGAACCATAGTAGTTGGACTCGCGAGGACCCTCCTTGGTCTCCCAGGAGAGCTGGCGGCGGTTGGCGAGGATGCCGGCGGTGACGGTGGTTCCGTTGTTGCCGCCCCAACCGACCAGCATCATGCCGACCTTGGGAATCTTGCGGTCGACCTTGAAATCGTAGAGGGTCTCATTGGGAGTAGCAACATACTTGCCATTGGCGTCAACGTCGACTTTAGTGGTGCGGTAGGTGTACTTGGAACGAATTTCCGCATCAGTGTAGGTGACATTGGGGGAGTTGACGGTGAAGAGGTCCTGGTTGGCCGAAGAGCCTCGGCCGTTGGTGTAAGCCCCGTTCGAGGAGCCCGTGCCGACTTCCGCGTGAGGAGCCATGGTGAGCGAATGGTTCTTGACGTGGAAGTTTGCGATTTGCGTAGATTGGACGGGTTCAGATTTTGATTTCGACCTTTACTGTTCAAAGGTCGAGTCCGCTGAGCCTCCGGAATCGGCTGAGCAGCGGGCTCCTGCGAACGGGTGGTGCGTCCTGGAAGGGGTCAGCATTATGAAATTTGATTATATTTTCAACCATCTCGAGGATTGGATATCCTCCATGATGTTAGATCTTGACATACGAGTTAAGGAGATTGGAAAACGTCTTGACGACTGTAGTGACCAAGGTTCGGTGCCTTGGTCCTCTTGTAAGAGTTTGTTTAGATTTGGCGGGGTGGTTGTCGCGGGGTAGCGGGGTAGACAGCAGTCGAGGATATGGGGTTTTAAAGGGTTAAAGGGGTTGAAGGTGCTTTGTTAAGAAGCTTGATGTTTCTGGGAGTTTTGACGAGTGTTGGTGGTAAAGCAGAAGAGTAGAATCAGAAAATCCAAGGGATGGGGAGGGTTCAAATACGGCACGGGATGGAGACAAGCAGTAGGTACTGCCACGTTTGGTTCCCCCATTGTGGGTTTTGGGCGGTGAGCGCTGACGACGCGGCGCTAGCGGAGTCGCGATAATCTAGCGGCTTGCGGAGCGCCTGCGGAGGGCTCGGGGAGGGACAATTGGTTGGGCCTAGGTAATGTCTTCTGTATGTTTGTGGACACTTCTGCACAGCCGAAGGCAGCAGGCTTTCCCACAGGGTTGGCAGCGTTGGGATCGGAGGCCCGGAGGATTCAGCACACAGCTTGAAGAGGCGGAGATGGCTTCGACTTGATGCTGTAGCTACATTGAGAACGAAGAGCTGGCACGCGAGCATGATTAACCGTTAAGTCTTGTCTTGATCTGGAGCTGGTACCTTAAGAGACAGTCTCGGCAATTGAGTTCAACATGACACCTCTAACCCTCCAGTCAAGTCATGGCTGACCCTGCCATCATGCAGAGTGCTTCCTTTTGCTCCCCCCCCCCCCCCCCCATGCACAAAAAGACCCGTCTTGCCGAACGAGTGGCCTGAGCCCCTGACATTGTGCATTTCCCAACATTCGACACCTCGGTACAGCACGGTAGCTTCGCTTGATGTTAGTTCGTGCAGGAGAGAACACAAGAGGTATCGTCCCGCTTAGCCGCTGCCAATGAACCCGTGTCGTGTGTCTTGGTCCCTACCGGTGTCATCCCCGGTGATTGGCCTTACCCGGGACCTTCGGCGATCCTTTAAAGTCCGCTCCCGATTCCGTTGAGCTTCCGCGACTTCGGCGTGGAACCGAGATTTCGAGGACGGCGGAAAAACTTGGACGGGCAAGAGGTCTTGCGTGTTGCGTGTGTGAACTTGCAGAGACATTGTCGCACCATACTGAGCCGCCTGCTGCAGATAACCCGTTATTGTTATTGCCACAGGCCGTCGTACTCGCATGTGGCTCTGATACGCTCGAGACACAGCATGCCAAGATTGCGCGAATATGTGCCTCGCTTTTTCGTCCTTTTGTTATGGCGAGTGAGCGCAAGTTCTGAGCTGTAAGATGTCCATAACGTCAGCCGCATATGTAGGGAACCTTTGGATGGAAAAGAACGCGGAAACTATCCCGCAAGCTCGAAGAGGTTATTATTCCATCCACCTAAACAGCTGGACTTTTGGTCTTGGCACGAGACCTTCAATGTCTCTGGTTCAGTAACCGAATTTGTTCTAGCTTCTCAACCATGATACATTCCGTCCTGCAGACTTGCAACAAGACACGTGCATGCCAATCGATAACGTATCTACCGACCGCTGGAACAGCTTGCTATCAAGCACGAAGAAACCACGGGAAAGACTGTCCCATCGCTTGGTCCGTCCCGTGAGTCGTGCTGTTGTCGATCATCCCACCAGAGAGCGCTAGCCATTATCCCGCAACGGCTCCAGCGCTTGCGGTAACAATTCGCTTGTCCCAACATCCATATCTCTGTCCATTTAAACAGGGGTCATAGCGCCAGCTGTCGCAGTGTGCTGCAGATCTTTCTCCAGGGTCTCATCATTGTTCCTGTGGTGAGGTGAAACTTGTTCCTTCACATGTAACCATGGGTGCTCATGAGCCGAAGCTCCACATCGGTTCAAACTGATGTTTGCGATCATGCTCTTCTCCGCCGGGTGAATCAATGTTCCGTAGGTTCCGGCTTCACCGTCAAATGCGGGAGAGTCAGAGTGTAGGTTAGTTAGGAGTGAGTTTGCTCCGTGGAGACCTCGTGGAGAGGCATGAGGTCTTAGGAGCTATGACCTCTTTATTAGATGGAGAACTGCTGGATCCGAGGAAGCTTCCCCCTCTGTGGACCACAGTTGTTCAATTTGTCCCAGCAACCCGATCAAGTCCATTGTCATGGAACCTATCACCATCCGAACCAGTCTTGGAATGGATCTGTGGATTGATGGACTACATATGCAAGACCCCACGATCAACCTGAAGCATCCTCTGACCAAGTTCTAGATGTTGCGGGGCGATCTCTCGTTCCTGATGAGGTCTTGGTGTGGGCTCTGTAGAATCTGCCAAGAACCGCCATGCCTCTCATTGCCATGGCGACATCCTGATTCTCTGTGTCAAAAAGGCGCAATAAAAGCTAGACTCTGAGATATGCCGCCGCCAGTGTCAACTAGAAGACCAGTCGAAGCGCCCATCGCAGGGCATTGCTTGTCTAGCCTTCGTTGCCATGCAATAACTGGCGACATTTCTTCATCTCAGCCCCGTGCATCCGAGACAGGTCATGTGTGTCAGATAGCCGATCGACGATCATACTCACGAAATTGCCCCCTCAAAACCGCTGTTATCGTGAACCACACAAGCCATCACCTTAAAATGAGACCCATGCGAGGCTAGGCCTGGAACCCCCAATGACGTTCACCGACACTATCAGCCGCTGTGGACTCTTGGCAGCTCATGACTAGCATGGGCACTAGATGTCAAAGGTCTGATGAGGTAACGACCCTGAGGGATACGGATTGGTCCTGACGATAAGGAGGATGTCAGACGGTGCGGAGCCTGGAATACTTCGTTGAAGATGGTCGTATGATGGATTTGCTTCTGTGCAGTCGAGGCGTCTCATTGTCTTTAATCTGGACGTCAGTAGAGTATGACAAAATCTCATGGATGGTTCTTAGTGCCGAACTTGTCAGCCACGATCATCACACGACTGTGGTCTCGTCCAGGGGTAGCTCCAGTCTGCTAGCCCGGCAACTGGAAACGAACTGTTTTCAGCCCTAGGTCGTGTGGTCGTTGTGGCGGGAGTTTTGAGCTCTCGTCTGCCGAAGAAATGACTCTTGGGGCGTCTCATCGTGGCGTTTCTTGGTAACCGATCTATTGATGTTTGGCTGATGCTTGGCGCTCCAGTGTTGATGCCCTCATCCGGGAGAGAGTGGAGGGCATCGCCATCGTTCTTCCCGTCAAAGACCTGAGACAGTGGGTACCAGAGCAGCGGCATTTAATGCTTGGCTGTCTCGGGCCTTTGCAACACGCTTGTCTCGTAGATCCGGCTGCGCTATCCTCGGCACAATCCTCGACGGTTGGAGATTGCATCGCGAGTGAACCCTCCAACCACCCGTCACCGAGTGTCACTCTGATCACGGGGTAGTTGAGCACTAACAGACAGCAACCTGCTGTATTTGGCGCGAAGAGATGAAGATCAGCCACGGTCTGTCACGGCGTAGCCCCCCCCCCAAAGAGGACAAGCAATTAAGAAGCAGTCTCTAAGAGGCCGGGGTCAAGAGTGTCAAAGCCATTCATTTTGTCCTACACGAGCCAATCAATATCAATGGAGGGCAACCCATGCCCGCTGCCAGAGAGATTACTCCGTACAGGATCCATCAGGAACCGACGCCAATGCATGCATGCACAATTTCTCCGCTTGCGGTCCCCTTTCAGCCTTGTTCATAGTGGGTGGTGTGTGATAGCTAAACCGGATCGAGAAGCCCGCTGATGCCGTCTCGAGGTCGGCGAGTGATGAAGCGGCATTGTTGGTTGTCTCGCGTCGTTAGTGGACAGGATTATTGATTTGCAGCATCCTCAGTAATTGCGCTGCGGGCTTCCATCTCGAATTCTAGCTTTGACAGGCTGTTGTTCCCCACGACGCTTCACACCACGCGAGGAGCAATAAAAGCAGGCGTTTGATGAGGTAGCTCCCCTTTTGGTCGGCCGAGACCCCATTCAGGACTAGGGCCACCAGGGGCGCTTCTCCACTGGACAGAGCTCCTGCAAGGTACCCGTAGCCGTTCAGGTTCGCCTGTTCCATTCGCAACGTTGGATCCGTTCTTTTCCTTCTCTTGTAATGGATGGATCCATGGAAGAAGGACGGACGCTGTGGCGTCTCGTATGACTTGAGCCGGTTGAGGCCGGGCCTTTGTTCTTTCTGCGCTTCTTGGTCGATGGTTGCGGGAATCGTTTGATGAGCAACAGTTAGCAGAGCGCTCCGTGGCCAGTGACGGTAACGCATCTGGACGATCCGCACTGCAAACGTTGGCGTGAGCTGCATGCATCGTTTATCGACGCAGCCAAGAGCCAATTGCGGACTGCTCAACCCTCTTCGGATCACAACGCAACCTTCCGTATCGGTGGAACTGGTGCAGGGCGGCCAGTCCGAACAAAGGACGGTATTGCCCAGGTACAGCGTCGCCCTGGTCCCCGTCCCCGTCTTCCAAAGAGGCAAATGGATGCATATGCATCATTGAGGAGGCGAACGAACCGAATCACCGAAGAGCGAGGCCCTGTTCTGCAATACCAGGAATGACAGACCAATCTTGGCTCCCGCAGTGTCTCTGCCATCTCGCCAACCCGCCCTGAAGATTGACCGCATGGCCGCAGAGCCGTGTCTCAGGCCGCCTCCCCACGCACGCCAGCGCCGGGGTGTGCGAACGCTATTCTATTCTACAGAGAAGCTTCGGCGAAGCAGCCGGCAGGTCGTACAAAGTTTTGGATGCTGGGTCGCGGTTGGAATGTTCGTTACCACGATATTGGATGTGACGGCTAAGAATAGCACCCACGGGAGGACAAAGACAAGAGATTGATGGGACAAGCACTTGATCCGATGCATCGATGCGCCACCACCAACGACAGAGCCGTGAGAGATGGGGCATGATTTTAGAGTCAAAAAGACAAGCGCAGAACCCACTGGCAAAGACTCACGGATGCTCTGGCCGGCCTCCATCTTCCTGCTGCTCATATTATTCCACACCGCGCCCACCGCAAACCCGTCAGGTTAAAAGCCGTCTCGTTGCAGTCACCAACCAGGGGTACAAGGATCTCTCGGCCAGCGCTGTGACCAAGGGCGCCGACGTGAGCCAGGATTAGAGCCTGGGATAAGCCTGCTACCAGCCATTAGTTCGGCCAAGGGCCAAGGGTCCCCCCCTTTAGCATCAACCCGCCCACTCGCCCTCCACATTCGAGACACGATGCGCAT